AAACCACAACTAATGACTATAGAAGTATATACTCCGCTGTCGGGGAACTTTCTGGATTGTTATTTGGATATACTCTCGTTGTCACGTAAGTTTTTTTTTATTGAAAAATGTCTCAACGGATTTCTACCTTTAACATTTTTTTTATCATATATATAAGTACTGAATGTAGGTATTAGATATGTAGTCCGATAGTACTTTTTATACAGATATCGTAACTGGAAACTGAGGCCTTTTTGAAAAAATAAATGTAATATTTCGTCAGAGATGCTGGAAGCCAGATTGCAGAGGCTGAACTACTCGATCTTGTCACTTGTTACGCTGATTATGCCTGTGACTCGCTACCACAGGTTTTGGGTAAGTCCTATGATTCCACCATCAATTATGAAATCATAGTAATCGATTGTTGGAAATAGTAGCAACATACGATTTTACATACGAAGTCCATCATCAAAACGATGGCCCCTTTGTTAGAAAGGCTGATGCGATCGTTAAACATACACGACTGTGAGCTTGTTGTGTAAATAGTTGCTTGAGGAAAACAATCAATCAAGAGAAGCACGAGTCAACCCCACACAGTAAATATTCAAATGTTTCAAAGGTCGCGATGAGTGCAGTTTATTACCAGTCTTAATCAATATATATATATATAAGTATTTTTTTAGAATGTCAAAATGAAGTGGTAACACAGGAAGGAAATACTCTTTCATGTACCTGCAACGGAGGCTGGGTCGGGCCTGATTGTAAATATCGTAAGAGAAACATTTATTTGGAATACTTTTTTATTATTTTAATTTTGTTATTCAATAAATTCCGTAACAATTACATTATAACACTGAAGACGACTGAATCAGTGCTTTCATATATTAGTATTTATTGCGTGACTGTTGAAAATGCCTGGGTTCAATTTACAGTCTGGATTGAAATTACAAGTTCAACGAGGTTAAATGATGACACGCGACTGACTTAATACAATATTCCAAAAAATCCTCCCGATACTCATCTCTTAATCTTAGATTTTGGCCTTACCTTATAAATGTTTAATTACTAATTATATGTATTTTTGAACCTTGCGTGTTGCTGCTTGATAATCCGTTCCTCGCGAATTCCCTTCCCCATTGAATTGTGTGTTCAATTTTATTATTTTAAATTTTGCAATCTACTTTATCCTGGTTGGAAAAAATAAACTTGACTAACGACTATGAATTTCTCAATCAGCGCTTTTGGTTGAATACCAATCAAAACGTTCTAATTTTTCTCATTAACATTTTAACAGCTTGCTAAAGTTCATGAAAGAAGCTCCAGACTTGAAGATTTAATTTTCAAATAGTTCATTAGTAGTGTGTTATTTTCTCGTTTTTATGTAATGTGAATCTCATACCCTTTGATAACAGTTAGGTAGATCATGCCTGTAAACTCGGTTCCTATACCAGAATACCACCCCTAAAATCAAATACAACTCTTTACTATGATCACCTTGCTTGAGGGAGATAGGAGTCTTAGATTTGTATGTAATAGGAAGTTTTTTTTAATGATGCACAGCTTGACTTTTTCCTGTTTCCTTACTGTTAGACTCAATCACAGGTGTCGCTGCTTGATAACCAGTATTGGTTTTTCGCCACCTCCTTCACCCTGAAATGCCATTTTACGTTGTTTTACATTTTGTTTGTACAAATAAGTGGCATATTTCTAGTGAATATTAACAATTGTAAACGCTCTATTTGTCCTTACTTCCATAAACTACTGACAAATTGGGATACAAAGATATGAATGATGTTTTCAGTTTATGGAAAATATTAACTGTAACAATATTTATTACCGTGTTTTACATTAATTGTAATCAGTGGCGTATCTACGTAACATTACGCCCTTGGCAAAGCTTAAAAATGCGCCCCCCTAGATAATTGTTTAAAAATTTATAAGGGCTGTTATAAATGAGGTGCTTGTTCCTTAATTATTTGAATAAAAATACAATTTTCAATGTGAAAATATTTTATATAAACATTTTACGATTTACTATTTCACCGTTTTTGAGCCCCTGTTAAGTTGGCGCCCACGCCACAGGCCATGGTACATATATACGCCACTAGTTGTTATTCTCAGCATTTCAACCGTAAACTGCCGATGTCCTTGTGATAGATATAAATTATTTGTATACATATTCGGAAATATAATGAAACTTCAGAAAGTTTGCTTGTCATTTCCATTTCCACTAAATTGATGGTGCTGGTTTGTCATATGAAGAAACCGTCTCATCTCCTCTTGGATAAATATGAAATTCCTACCTCTCATGACTTCCATCTATTTGCCAGCTTTTTGTATTAATGGAATTTATTACAGTCTGAATTTATAATAATTCCATGATTTTATGTGATTAGAAAAACCTAATTAAAAGTAAATAAGATTGCTTCAAGCTTGATATCGTTGAGGAGGTATCTCTGATTTTAGCTGATATACCGTATGCTTTGTAGGTTTGAGTGACTCGAAGAAGGTTTCTAGCTTCTGATAATTTTGCTGGATTCGTAGAGCGGTATTTCCATGCATTTCATTCTTATACATCTCAAGAAGTAGGACTGATTAAAAACCGCCAATACAAAAGCTTCGCCTACCCATGTCGATAAACGAATTTTCGACGACAAACTTAGAATGCCTGGTAAAGGGTTATGGCTGCTGAACCGCGAAGCCTCCACCGACTCCATTGATTATTTCCGTAGTATGGACCTTTCCCCGAGCATCGACTTCCTTGTTTACTTTGTGACATTGGCCAATCAGCAAGATGCACAAAGTGACGTAACAATGTCCCCTTTTCGCATTCGCTCAGACACTTTTCTCACTCAGACAGATTTTCAAGCGTGGTTGTAAACATTACCTCATTTTCGCGTTTTTAAACTCTATTCGTTAGTTTTCAGTTGTGTTTCGGAAACTTAAATATAAATCAGATAATTCAATGATTACTCTGTCTTTCTAGGAGTTTTAATTAAATTGCAGTAATGAAAATTAGTTTAGAAATAGCTGTGATAGACTAGCCTGAAATTCTTTACCGGTGCTTTCAAAAAACAAATCGTTGTATGCGATGAATCATAATGTTGGTTTGAAACAAATACTCCATTTTACAAGCGCCAACTCGCAAAAGCACTCCTAAAATAGCCTCGGAAATTTTGCAATGGTAAAGAATAGGAAGAATTTTCCGGGGGTTAAAGATCGGGGAAAGATCCATTGCCTCAACGGTTACGGAACAATCAGAATTATAGCTTCCACGTAGACAGTTTTTACGTTCCGATCAGTTTTCAAGTTCCGCTGATACATACCTGCATTCCAACTTAAATCACGGGAAGTATTAGTTGGAGCATAAAATCCATATTTGCAGAACTATGAAGAAAACTATTGAATAGGAAATTATAAGAAGACAATCTGTAATACTTCAGTGTTTGATGAATTCGGGATCACGCTTTCCCATCGCATATGTAGCACTGTGAATCCAGTGGGATTTTTGCGAAACTTATTCTGCATTTTACAACTGGCTCAGACGCGGAATATATTTTTTTTTCAATAATATTTCTCGGGGAAAACTGATCACCCTCAGACATGGACTCGAAGCCATGTTCAAACATACTCAACTGATACTAGTAATGAAAAAAAATACAAATGTATGACATAACGTAGAAGCACAAAAAATATAAAAATAGGTCTGCACAAAGGAAAAACAATAACTTGAGGGGAACACTAAGAATGGTATCCAGCGGTTCCTAAACTATGGCATTGTAGAAAATCACAAGATTTTTTACTAAACATTATATAAAAAGCGACATCCATTGTTTTTATTTGTATTTCCTATACAAAAATCAAGTGACAAATATCATAATTGTGATATCACACAATTTTGAATAGTGGTGTGATCTTCACCTTACCTCAGGCCAATGAACCTTTCCTCTCCCACACATTTTAAATTAAAATCATTTTGAAAATTCAAATTATCATCTTATTTCCATGCAAGGTCTTCATTTCAACGAAACACGGTGGTTTTGCGATGATTAGCCATTCCTGTGTTCTGTGTTATGTTATAAAAAAACAAAAGAAAATTTTAAATTAAAGTTAAGTGGGTCGCCGTAAGCTGTGGTAATAAATAGTGGGTCCCAACTCTAAAAAGTTTGAGAACCACTGGTATATGCAATTCGAATGTAATCCGCAAAATGCCGACAACTTCTAATAGTAAATATGAATAGAATGCATAGTCACAAGTAATTTATGTTAGAACAATGTGAAAAACAAGCCTTCAAACAAAGATCAAAAATTTGATTTTCCTTCATTTGGTGCGAAATCGATGATTTAAGACCAAATTTGAATATGATCCAGAGAATGAGGACAATTTTTGACACCCACATATCAAGTGTCTAACACCAAAGTATGGTCATAAGCAGACCGAAGTAACTGATTATAGAATCGGGAAAGCGAACAAAACCTAGAGTAAGGTTTGAAACGTACAGATTTTAGATGGAAAGGTATTGATAAAAGAAGTAGTACGTGTTTGCTCACCCAATTGTAAATATATACTGCTACGTTTTTTTACATTCATATAATTTTTCCAGCACCAGTACCGGTACCAGCTGTTTTTTGTAAGAAATATCATTAAGAAATATTAGGAAGTTATATTATGCGTGGGAACCGGTTGAAAACTGCAGAATAATTTTCCTTCGATTTCACGGCGGTCCCCGCATGTCCTGTACAGGTACCCTGGGTGAATTCGAAGTAGTTTAGTGGCTCATTTACATATCAACTTTCTCGTCAACTTTATTTTGTTTCTGGCTATGACTTAATACATTACATTCCCGTATATATAGGCCTATTAAAGGCACCCAATTCAGTACCTAATTCCGTTTTTTTTGTGGTAGACTAGCTTCAGAGCTTGGTGTTACAGAATCAATGTATGGATAAAAACAGAAATATATGTTGTATATGCTATATCAGTTTGTCAATACTTTAAAACATAGAACTGATTTTTATAGTTTTGCAGATTTTTACCGGTATATTACTATAACTGTATATTAAGATTATTATTGCATATAAATAAGTATGGTATCCAAAACTGCAGCAGTAGCAGCAGCTGCAGGTGTTGCTTTCATTGGATACTGTGTATATTTCGATCGGAAGAGAAGGAGTGACCCTGACTTTAGAAAGAAGTTGAAAGAAAGTAAGTATAGAAGTAAAAGTTGTATCCCTACATCTTACAATTCAACTGTTGAAGAATTTCCACTTTCTGGCTTTCAATTTTTTACTATGCACACAACACATTCTGCTAAGAAGTTTCACTCATTTTCTCATTCTCAATTAACAAAAAGATTAGCTTATATTGTTAGTGCCTTGCTATTAAAGAGTTTTTCATATTTACAGGAAGAAGAAAAGCAAGAGAAGGGCAGTGTGGTGCAAATAAAACTAAGGTGATTAAGTTTCCTCAGCTCTGAGTATCGACTTCTTGTCTGTACACACGGCCGACACGGGTATTCAAATTTAATGTCATCTAAGCTGAAGACGAATATAATAGAAAAACAGCTGAATTTCTTGTCTAGTGTGAAAGAATTGCATTGGTTGCTCATGAATGTATCACTAACTATTTGATTTAATTGATACTAGTTTGTACATGTGTTCCGCATGGCCATTGAATTTTCAGAAACATATCACAATAGAACAATTGTTGGCGTATAACATCACTGCTGTTTAAGTTGATAAAAACTCAATATTGTGTTTCATTTGAAGTTGCCAGATTTAAGAGATGTCGCAGAAGTTCAGAAATTTTTCTTGGAAGAGGTGCAAAAAGGAGAAGAGCTACTTGGAGAAGGAAAGTATGAAGAAGGTGTCGAACATCTGACAAATGCTGTAGCAGTCTGCGGTCAACCTCAACAATTACTACAAGTTTTACAACAAACTCTACCCCCACAAGTTTTTAATATGCTACTTGAAAAGTTACCTTCAGTATCACAGGTTAGTTTACATTTTTAATGACATCACCTGAAGCTATTTAGTACCAAAATGATCACTGAATTTTGGCTTGCTTCCAGTGCTTTCAAATTATTATCTTGCCATGGAAGATTGTGATGCTCCCTCTTTGTACATTAATAGAATTATGGCATGATGGTTAATTTAATTCATCCTGTGTGTGATGCCTGATTTTGGATATTGAGCTAAAATCTATATTCATTTTTATTTCAGAGGCTCGCAACCTCATCTGCTGCATCCGCAAAACCAGCAGCAAAGCCAGCTAAAGAACCTTTATCCTCTGCCACAATTGCTGATGTTGATGATTTGGAGTAGATGATATGTGCACTCTCACTGCTCGAATGTAGTTGAACATCAAGGAAGCATAAAGTACAAATCTGAGGGCATATCGCACAGTTATTTTAAGAGCACACTTTTATCATCCCTTCATTTTTATTTCATGCAACTTTCTCTTTTTGTTAATTGATGATAATAAATAAGAATCTGCCAATGAGGGCAGTATGATGAACTAGTCTAAAATATGTAAACAAAAATCATCTCGTTCAGGCTATTAAGCATGTGGCCAGACAGCCTATTTACGTTTCTTCTTCGCCTCTGCTGATTTGTCTTTTGCTTTTAATGCTTTCTTATCTGAGCCTCCGAAGAAGTTTGATAAAGACTCTGACAGATCAAACCCACTTTGGTTTGTGTTAAACATGTTCATTGATTGTTCCATTTCTTTCTTGAGTTCTGGATCATTAGTGTTCATCATCTTAGGCAGGATCACAAGCATAACAAGTGGAAGAACCATCATTAATACCTGAGAATACCATAAAAAAAAGGTGTCAAAAAGCCAACTCTATACAAGGTTTAAGACTTGACATAAAATATTTACAATGGACATAGTATGTGGAATTGATAGCCGAGTTCAAGTTTTGCACCAATCTGCTTATATATAAGCGCAGAATCATCATGGCATTTTGGGTAGCAATAGGTTTGTTAAAAGATGCATCTCCTGTAAACGACCTTGCTTTGAGCAAATCTTTTCTCAAAAAAGTAAAGAATACTACTTTAATCTATTTGCCAACTTACCATAGGACTTTTCAGTAAATCCAAAATACTGAATTTCTCCCGTACTTGAAAGTATTGAGCAAAAGTTGCAGGTTTCATTTCTAATGGATATTTAACCAATGTCACTTGACTTGGTTTCAAATGATTTACTTTTCGAGCTCTTAGATTTCCTTTCATCGAGACATCAACACGAAGAGGTTCAAAAAGATATTTTGGTGTGAAAACTTCAACCACATAAGATCCAGTAGGAACATTGTGGACAGTGAATGTTCCATCGGTCCTAAATGCATTAAAATATTGTAAATACAGAAATAGAAAAAAAAAATTAACCTAACTCTACTCATTACTAGGTAAAGGCAATAAAGCATGAATCAGTATATGGCACAGTAAGAGTTATGTCAAGTTTTGCAATACGGAGTCGAGTCAAAGATCACAGGGAGATAAAATTTATTCGGTTCCAGAATGGGGAAACCAATGTTTCAAATGTACACAGATACAGGATTTTATTATGTTAAGGTGTAGTTTGCACAGCTAGGTATATATTATATGGGCCTCATCATTTTGAAAACAGAGCAATTCTGAGTAGATTAGAACTAAGCTACTGGTATTCTTATTAGGCAATTATTGGTGATGAGATAGGATTTACCCCGGGTATCGGTATGGGATTAGTTATTTGTTTAGATTCATGAACTTGATGGTGGATGGAACCATAACCAGGTAACTCGATTCTCCCACATTCAGTTGAAGCAATTATTTATTGTTGAGTAAAATTCTGCCCATTGTTCAAATACATGAGTGTAGTACAAAAGTTACCTCAAATATCCTCTATATTTTCCACCATCGACAAGTACTTGAATATCATTCACCCACTGCTTATTTCCATCTGGGGGTAGAACTACTTTTCCTTCAATTTTGTATCCTTCGCCTCTGGTAATAAGTAATCCTAACAAGCATGTCAGCGCATAGTACAACATACTGTAACCCCTTTTCGACAATACTTACTTTTATAACACACAAAGTCGACAGCCAAAAGTAACAACAGTTTAGTTTAACTGTGCCGAAAATAAGCTAGAATTCCGGGGGGGGGCATAAGCCTAATTAGGAATAGCGTTTTATTGATCAGGAGTCTGATGTTTTCTGATCCGGAACTAAAAATTTTGTTGGGTATACTAATTGATAAGTAAATTTCAGACATATTCATAATATAAGATTGACTTAAAATTTTTTTTTATCGTTTATAAATCTACGTGTACACGATAATAGACAAAATTTATTGTCTGTGGAATTGCTCCATCCACGTCACGCTTAATCGGATTCAGCACAGCACAACTCAATTTTGCCATCATTTGCTACGTGTCTCGCGCTTTAGCTGATCACCGTTTTCAGGTTTTGGTTTTATCTGCGCTTGCAGGCTTCCATTCTCGCCGACTGTCCGATTCTAATACTGCAATATGGTGTCTGTTATAAACACGGTAGATACCTCACACGAGGACATGATACACGATGCGCAATTGGACTATTATGGTGTGCATTTAGCGACTTGTTCATCTGACAGGTCAGTGAAAGTGTTCGATGTCAAAAATAACACCCAGCGCCTGATAACCACACTTATGGGACATGAAGGACCGGTATGGCAAGTTGCTTGGGCACATCCTAAATACGGTAACATATTGGCATCTTGTTCTTATGACAGAAAGGTCATAATATGGAAGGAAATGAATGGTCAATGGACGAAGTATTATGAATATGGTGATCACGATTCATCAGTGAACTCTGTGTGTTGGGCGCCACATGAGGTGGGACTGATTCTGGCGTGCGGTTCATCAGATGGTTCAATTTCTGTCCTCACATATACTGAAGGTGGTACTTGGGAGGCAGCAAAGATACCCAATGCGCACACTATTGGTTGTAATGCTGTAAGCTGGGCACCAGCTGTGGTTCCCGGTTCATTAGTAGAACCACCTTCAAATGCTAACAAAGATTCACAAGTAAAAAGATTTGTTTCGGGTGGATGCGACAATTTAGTCAAAATTTGGTGCGAAAAAGAAGGCATAGGTTGGCAAGAAGAAGCGAAACTAGAAAGCCATAATGATTGGGTGAGAGACGTTGCGTGGGCTCCATCGATTGGTCTCCCTAAAAGTAAGATTGCAAGTTGCTGCCAAGATGGTCGAGTCATTATTTGGACTAATGATGGAGTAGGGACAAGATGGACACAAAGTGTGTTGAACAAATTTGATGATGTCATATGGCATGTAAGTTGGTCTCTTACTGGAGATATTCTTGCTGTATCTGGGGGAGATAATAAAGTATCCTTATGGAAAGAAAGCCTTGATGGACAATGGGTTTGCATTAGTGATGTAGGGAAAGCACAAGCTGCAGGATCCTGAGTGTAAATTTTAAAATATGTTCTATCTTTCTCTCCATGTATAAAAATATGAAACTGTTTCCAGAATCTCCAATTAGAAAAAAAAGTATATTCGCAATTTTTTTGTGTTATACTTCATTTGTGAATGGCAAATAATTTTCTCTTCAACCCAGTTTAGTGATCCGAAACTTACCGTAATTATATCAATTTTAAAACTACAATATAAATTTCATTGAATTTGAACATGCTCTTAGATGTTGTAAATCAAATATAAAATAAATGCCAATTATATTTTTGAAAAACTTGAAAACATTGTTTTTATTGTTCTCAATGAATTTGTGCAGAATGAATTCATGACTTTAGTATGAGTATGTACAACTTGATACGAATCTATTTCTAATATGAACCTGATTAACTTGAATTCAACAATATTCTTGTCAAAATAGTCGACCTCTATATTTTATGTATGTTTTGTCTATTGTTACAAAAGATTGCTGATGTTTTTGTTGAATAATTCAATCATATAGACTTGAAAATTTGATCTAAACTATTCAAAACTGGATATTTCCAGCTACAAGCAATTTTAAAATGTGTACTGACTAATAAAAAGGATTTCAAGCATGTTATTTGGCTGAGAATATTTTGCTATTTTTTCAGCATGTTGATAGCAATTTTCTCATTACATTCAGAAGTCCTCTGTATGTGAGAAAAATATTATCCATGAAGCTACCAAGTTTAATCATAACATGCTCAATCCGTTTTTCAGTTGTGCATTCGTGTGATGTTAATTTTATTTCCTCCAGTTGATATAGCACATATTATTCTTCACTATTTCAATTCATGAGTGTGAGTTTGATGTTTTTTCAAAAATTATTGGCTCATGTATATAGTTCGTAACAATCTAGGATCACAATCTGCAATGCTCTCACTTTTGTGTGCTTTATTAAACTTAAAATATTCTTTCTTGTTCGCTAATGATAAATTATAGTTATATTAGTGACGTCATGGATTTTTCCAAATTTCTGGATGAGGATTTCAATGTTAACACTTGGGTAAACAATGCGTTTAAAGCACATCAAGATGACGTGGGGGCTGTCGCACAGAATAAAAGAGATGTTTATGCTGCTACACTGGTCACCAAGCTCCAAGTATTTATTCAAGAAGTCAACAAATCATTAGAAGAAATGTCAGTACAAGTTGTGAATTCAATGCCCAGAGTACTGAGAGATGTGGAAGCCCTTAAACAGGAAGCTTCGTACTTGAAACAGCAAATGCAACAAGTAAAAGAGGATATTCATGATGTAGAGAAAAAGACTTCCAATACAATGAAAGTTCTTGTGCTGACTGATCAAGTCCGAAGTCGAGTTGAGCGCTCATGTTCAGCTCTCAAAGAAGCGGATAATTGGTCGAGTCTTGCTGCAGCAATTGAAGATGTTTTCAGATCAGGAGATTCCTACACGATTGCGGTTAGATTGAAAAGTATGCAAAACAGCTTGGAAATTCTAAAAGATAGTCCAGATTATGATGACAAAGTAATGCACTTGGAAGCACTCAAAAATAGACTGGAATCTCAAGTTAGTCCTCAAGCAGTAGCTGCTTTTATGCAACATAACACAGAAGATGCGAAGAAGTTACAAAAAATATTTTCCACTATTGGTAGAGAATCTGAGCTTCATAAATACTATGTGAAAACATACAGTTCTAATATAACCAATCAATGGCAAGAAATCATTTCAAATGAAGACGATAAATCTAACATTGTAATTATGAAGGAATTGTTTGATTTGCTATTGTCAACTTGGCATGGTCAATTGCCATGGTGCCGCACCGTTTTTGGTTCCATGAATGCAACCATAATAATTCTTAAGCTTTTAGTACAACTGATGGCTTTGACAAAACCAGGCTTCACAGATGTTATTACAAGTGCATTAGAAGCAGCTGATGGACCAAAGCTCCAGCCATTGTTAGAGTTGCATGGAATTGCTAAACAATTTGCAATAAATTTAGAAGAATCTGTAGAGACTTCATGTGGTTCTCCTATGTCACATAAAATTGACAAAAAATTATCTGAAAATTTAGCAGACGCTCTGTGGATGCCTTTTGCGGAATTCCAAATTAATTATAAGGAATTGGAAAACGAAGTTCTCATGACCAAATTGAGTGAGGTTGTTATGGATGCTGGTGATTTAATGGATTTAACACAAGTCCTATCTACCTCTGCAGACAAGGTTTTTGTAATAGCTACAGAAGCTGTGAAGCAGTGTGCCAAGCTAACAGGTTATCTTGGCTCACAAGATTTGATCATTCCGTTGAATACTTTTTTTCATAGCTACACGGACAAGTTTTCCAGAGCATTACGAACTGTAATTGTACAATATGGGCTGAATAAGAAAGATTCTGGTGATTTGGAAATAAGCGAAGATCATTATTATTCTTTGTTCCAACATTCGTTGCGTATCATTACAACATGTGGCAAACTGCTACAATCGTTTTCAGATTTTGAACAAAAATTGATGTCGAATATTTTAGGATCTAAATGTGCTGAAATTGCTTTGGCAGGGTTGCTTGAGTTTGAACAAACTGATGAAGCATCTGTTGTTGCATCCAAACAAGAATCAACTTGGGTGTTATATAATTATATGAAGAGAGTTGATGAAAAAGAATACAGAAAGCTGCAAGACATGTTGGTGAGCTTGAAGCAGTCGCCACCATCACAACGCTCCTTGCTTCCGACTGTAAAGCAATCTCTCATGAATCTCAATCAGCAGTCCCATCAACTCGCATTCGATATTGCTTTTGCCCAGATTCGAAAACAATTAGCCCTTATTCCACAGTTGGAAATATGGAGCAATGTAAACACACCTGCCGAGCTTGTGGACAATTCAGAGTTGCCGGCTTTTAGTTTGCCTCCGACAGAGTATGCCACTACTATTGGTCAGTACCTGATGACATTGCCGCAGCACTTAGAGCCATTGGCAGCTGGATTAAATGAAGGAGATGGGGAATTGAGCGCAATGGAAACTGCTTTGCACACAGCCAAATTGCCCTTTTCACTCGAAGATGAGAAGTCTGATGTCAACAACATGGCGGACCGGTGGCTAACTTCTATAGTGAGAGCATCTGAGCATACTTATGTTGAAGCGTGCCTACAGATTCCTTCACTGACAATACATACTGCGAGACAGCTTGCAGCAGATTTAGATTATATGGGAAATGTTGTCGATTCCCTTGGATTACCAGTATTCAAGGATATCGCTTTGTTAATTAAATTATTAAGATCATCGGAGGGTGAATTTGAAAGTGTATCAACTGATATTCCAAAAAGACTGGTTTCAAGTATAGCTCGCATAAGGAATATAAAGGAAAATTCTTAGTTAAATTCTGTACCGTTTTATTGAGTTTATTCTTATTTCTGCAATAAATTATCGGACCAACTTTGTTTTGCTGTTACTGTAGGTGTCCTGAAAGGTCATTCACACCATAACCACATAAGGTCAAATGTTTTTGCAAAAAAGTATTGCAAATCATATAGGTGCTATATCGCTATTCCAATGATGTTAATAAAGTTGCCTTTTTTCAAGGAGGGTAAAATTGCTTTCACGAGTACAACAATGTTTGTCTGGTACCAAAGAATCTACACAGAAATCATTAAGTTTTGTTTTAAACCTACATTCAATGTGAATAATTTTGTTTGATTAGCCACTTCTCACTATTATGCTAAGGAATGAATACTTTCGGTCGGTGGCCCAAAAAATTTTTATTCAAACTAGAGTCCCCATATGCAATAGGTAAATGCACCTTTGTTATCAACAGGATGTGGCTAGTAAGCTCGTCCTTATCCATCCAATTCAGCAGGTGCTTTGAGCTCTTCTATCAGTTTATTTTATGTACCATTGAATAGCCAAAGACACTGATATAAGTAAGTTGTGAGTAACTTAACCACAACATTCACAAAGAAATTGCAGCCATACAAATATGCTAATACTACCTTACTAACCTAATGATAGTGTTTTAACAACCACAAAACCTGCTCATAAAAGTATCTGAGAAGCTCCCCCTTTTTGGGTAGTTAATAACAAGTTGTGGTAGACAACAAGCAAATTTTATTCAGCATGTATATTCATTTTCTCCGGCCGGCTTTAAACTTAGAAACTGGCTTAGTTGAACTTCTCGTCTGCATAGTTGTCTTTAATTCTTCATGAACTTTAACTTCCCTTTCAACCACAATATCAGAAACTGCTGTTCCCTGAAAAGATACAATTGTAAGTTGATACAATTCGGGCCATAAATACAAAGAGACTAAATAATTTAACAGTACATATGAAATCTTCACACTTTATATAGCACATAAACATAGCATACTCCACATCTTTGCAAAAGGTTAATACTCCAGCATCTGCTCTAAAAAAGTCTACATAAAACATATAACAAGGATAATATGGCACATAAATAAAAAATAAATCTATGAGACTGCAGAACAGTTGAAGGGTAAGAGATAGATATGGTCCCAATCACCATTTGAATGGCCGCTTCCATAAAGGGTTGCAATGTAGACGGCAGCCATGCAAGATGACTACCAATCAAATGCAATGTTTTATGTAAAGACCTGTTCTCCTATAATGTTGTACAAATGTCCGAAGTCTATTTAAAGAAATATTTCAAAGATCTGTATCTTGAAGACTTTTCTAAAACATACCAATTGCACTGCATGACTTGAGCTTGGTGATTCATCGTGTTTAGTCTTCTTTAATATAGATTTTGATTGTGGTTGTTTAATAAGCTTGTGAACATCTCCTGGTGTTAATTCATGGTTGCTGTTTGATGAATGAGCCTTAAAAATAGAAATTACCTTGAAGTAAAGACATTGTTGGAAAGAGGAATGCGAAGGGAAAGATTTCAGGTTATTCAACTATTTCATTGTCGACTATGATATTAGTTTCGACATGCCAATAGTAAACTTTCACATTTTTTATGAGGTGTTTACACACCTTCCTTCACAAAAGGAACTAGAGCATTCGCTTGGGAGTTTTTGGAAGGATTGGATCTTTCCAATTTCACATTGCATGAGATGATAAGCATTTGAGTTAAGTCTAGCGCTCTAACCTTTGGGCTACAACACCCCAAATAACTAAGGATGACATGGGAAATAATTACCATGAGATGTTTTTATATAGAAACTTACCATATTTTTGCAAAAAAACCTTCCCAACAAATATCCAGGGAACAACTAAGATAACATTACTGTATATTATTAATTACAAATGTGAATCTCCAATTTATGTAGCAACAGTTATATCGTCATCACCTTGGCAGTGTGCTGGAATCGTATTGTACATGATTGAGGTTTGTTACATGATTCATCATTAAAAGAAACTTTTTTGATTTTTTGTTGATTTTCTTCTTCTATCGGAGACTCACTATCATCCGAGTCAATATATTCATCATCACTCTCTGAACTGTGATTAGAATGGACAATTTTAAAATATGAAAAGGTTCACCTTTGAATTAGGCTCTATGCAATCATCCACTAATACAGAATAAGCTATTATACAGTATTTGGAGAGACCGAAATCATTGTTCCCTCTAACTTTTTGTAGTATGTGTGCGCAGAAATTTAGGCGTGTGCGCACTTTTTTGGAAATGACTAATATTTGTGCAAAAACCAATAAGAAATTTTGGCGTTCTAACCGGGTAATAGTTGGGCCAACAACAAACGTTCTCAACCTGCCAACCGAGAACATTGTTACATTACATCGAAATACGTCTGTGCGCAGTAAATCTATGCGTGTGCGCTGCCTCTGAAAGCAAGTGCCCATAGGTTTCAGTCCCTTTACACAACTTGACGCTGACGCTCAACTTGAAAGCAGGCGAACAAAATTAGTTACCTCCATATTGGTACATACACTTCCGGAGCGCCATTTATTCTAATAGTACGTTAAAACAAACAAAGGTCTTTTTGATACTACTATACCAATGCTTTACCAAATGCCAAATAGTGAATCTGAATAAAACAACAAGAAATCAAAAAAATTTACTAACCTATTTATTCCATCTTCTTCTTCCTCTAATAACTCAAGCTCATCAAGTCTTTTGAGAAGAGCTTCATGTTTCTCATTTATTAACTGAATCAAACATTAGTCAAAAAATTAGTTGCTGATAACAGCACTAAGTTTATACATCAACAAGAATGGTGCATACTTTATCATCTTGATTTTTGACTTCAGGTGAATCTGATTTTGATTTTTCATCTTTCACCCTGCTCACTCTTCTTCGATCCTTGGGATGGACATAGTTCTCTGGACATTCCTAAAAGCATTTCACATTATCGTCAGATGGAGACTTGATTAACCAATGAGATAGAACCATGTAAAAGAGAAATTACAAAATCTAAGCCAATATAACAAAAATGTTACCAATTTTTTAGCATAATAATATGGAAGTATTGGCCACAATACAGCAATGCCTTCCTTATGTACACTAGTGATTGCAATATACAATTAAGAACCAAAAGTGTGTACTATAGTTCCAAAGAGTAATGCTCAGATATATTCCTACCTCTTTAATTTCAAACTCCTCTTCAGCTGCTTTTGCAATATCACCGAGATATTCACTTTTCATTTTTATGTTTGTTGTCACTTTTTCTAAATCAATCAAAGTATCTTTCAAATTATTCTGTCGCATTTCAACAATTTCCAAAGCCTAAATGAAAGATTTATAACCGTTATCATTTCATTGGTACATGTGGACAAGGTTATGACCAATATTTGCTTATTGTCATAATGATTACATATAACCAGGCTTTGGAGTTTTGCATGTTTTTATAGATACTGGGCCTGGAGCCCACTAAGTGTCAAATCTTTTGTCAACCATGAGTTGTTGTTGTAAGTGTTACTCGATGACTCTGAAAAAGTCTTTTTCGCAACCCCTCGTCCTTTGCAGTTCAAATATTGTATGTTTTTTTAGATGAATTCATTTAATCTTTTTTTTTGTTCATAGGCACAATGTTTGTTGCAAGACGAAAATAAATATCTACGGTAAATCTGAGTTGGGAGTTGCTTTTCAGCTTGGCCTGAATTCGAATTGGGATGTAAGATTTTGTCTCAGTCTCTCAAACCCTTCGTTTAAAATGTTCTCAATGAATAACATTAAATAAACCAAATACCTTTTTACATGAGACAGTTGTGAACCATGCATCTCCTAAATGTACAAGTAGTTCATTTGTGTGTACCAATCTGCCAGGCATAAATGCAAGTTTTCCAAATGGAACCTGGATAAAAGAAACATTCAAATATTTATCAAGTATCATGCACAACATTCCTATACGAAGCAATATTGTGTATATTACCATGACTGGATGGGATAACTTATCAGGCAATGTTGTGATTCTCACAGACAAATGTTCATAATTTTTCATTGATTCCTTGCTGTAAAAAAACAAATGATAAAATCTCATTAAAACACTAATGGATTGCATATGAATTGTGGAATGTCAAAGTTAGCTTCTATATGCTAAGTGTTAGGAAAACGCTTGCCATACACCTCTGATTTCCCTGCACAAGTTCATTATCTTTAGAAGATACCGGTAATTATGTGTGAGAGGATTGCTAGACACTTCTCGTCACCATAGGACGGTTACTGCTTTCTCCACCATCAAGTCCATGCATCTGAAACAAATAACTGGTTAATAAATCCCAATCTGGCATCGACTGATAACTAGACGAGAGCCCGTGGTTGCCCTATGACTAAGCCGTTATATCAACTTTCCTCTCTCTGGGATAAATATGAAAATCCAATTCTATCATTACCATGCTTTAACCTTTGCATCTAGTTCTGCTAAAGCTTCATCTTGTATTTGTCTTGCACGAATCATTCCTTCAACATCAGCCATATTTACGATAAATAATAATCAATCTACAACATATGATAAATCATACAATATTAATATAAGAGAATGGCAGCGCCAAGCAAGAATAAGTTGCAAGCAATGGTAACATTGATATATGGTTTAATTTGAAAGGGAACGCAAAGAGTAGGCTACATTGGCAAATCTAGAATTATGGCCATTCGATAATAAAATGGTAGAAGTATGAAAATACATTTAACAGCTGATAAATTGAATAGTGGTTATCAATTCGAATTCTATGCAGCTTCTATCATCTTATTGGCCTCATAATTGGTATATTATAATTTTTGGCATTAGTCATTTTTTCATGAAATAGATCCATTCACATTATCTGAAATTAATTACTGGACATAAACCTATAATAGATGAGGTATTGAGATGCAGCAATCGCAACCTTGTCCCAGAATAAAGATTTGTGTACTTGTTCGTCAGTTCCCTTGTGCAATATCCATGAAAATCAGTCTGAATATGGATCTGAGGGTCTTACTACTTACTGAATAGAGCACGAAATGCCACAGAAGAGCACGAAACAGCTCAGAAGAGAGGGAAACATTTTTCTTTCAACATCTTTGAATAACCCAACATGACGCACCCTAACCTGGTACACATACCGTGTTCAGGTTGTGCGCCATCTTGGTGCACATACTTCTGGAGCTCCCAAATTTGTTTGATTTTGCTAATTGGTGCGCTCATTTTACGTCATGTTAGGTTGTTTAAAGATGTTAAAGATTACTGATATAAAGTCGTGATTATTCCTTACTACTGTATACTGTTTCCCATCAAATTGTTTAAAATTTCAAGTAGTAAGACCGTAGATCTGAAGCATTAATAAATATTTCAAATCATAAAAATGTCACTCAAAATAGAAACAAACAACATTGTGAAACTTTTGTAACCAATTTGGCAATTAATTTATTTTTTTATACATACTGCATGTTTTACTGCAACCAGGAGGAAGCAAACTAGCAATAATTAAGTTAACTGCAAGTGGACATTCATATCTTTCTTAACAGATTTTCACTCCCACAAAGCTAAAATAGGTTGCTATTGGTGGGTTGTAAACTTCTGGACATGTCACTTTATGCTTGGAAAGAAATAATGCTCAATATCCTAATGAAGATCGTCTTTTTATAGTGCAATTTGAATATAAGAATAGATGCTTCTATTAGAAAATTTTACATATTGGCATAAAAGGAATTAGGAATCCGATATAAAAGCTTCGTTATACATACAAAGTCAAGATATAGCACCATCTTTGTGCAATAAAATAAGCATTAAGCAGATGAATAAAATATCATCGATATGCAAAATTTTGTTATAGGCAAAAGCAGTGACCTTCTAATTTGCAAAATTATATTTTCAATTGAACTGGATGTTCACATGATGATTAATTTATAACACAAGCTGACAAAAAAGACCAGGTGTAATATCATGAACTATAATGTAAAAGGTATACTACAATGCTTCCATTGACAATAAAGTATGATAGAATGATTATTCTTATCATGTCATATGGAAGTAAAGCAAGAATGTTATTGCAAGGGGATGAATATTCTTTATATATATCAGCAGTCACTATTTAAGGCCGATATATTGCACTTGTTTTCCCGTTTTATTAAGATATGCTTCAAGTTGGTCTTTTTCAACATCTGAATCAATTTCAACAGTTTTGCCTTCCAAATTAATTTCATACTTTACATCTTCTCCCAAGTTTTTCTTCAGCACCCGAATCACTGCATTGGAGCAACCACTGCAGGTCATCTCAACATGGAATTGATGAATCGGCATTTTCAATACAGAAAGTTTACAGTTATACCTTCTATAATCAAATTACAAAATTTTAAGTAATGTACTCTGTAGAATATAAGAAATAAAAGTTGAATATCACAGTATTAACAATGACAGAATGCTCGTCATTCTAGAATTATTGTCATGCAAGATGATCAAGTCCTGGGCATGACGTTAAACTGCACCCTGGGGTTTCCTTGAGCAAGATATGTACCCTAGTCGCTCCCCGTACCAGGGCAATGGTGAAGCTGCTGGCAGCAGGGCAGTGGATGGTTCTTACAGAGGCGCCTGCAGTATAATTGTGTGAACGGCTCAGTGAACCTTACGCTTGGCGGAATCCCGGTCCAACCAGGTAAACGGCAAGGGTAACCCTCCTAAGTTTCAGGAACTGCGAGCAAAGAAAGACCCTTGGAGTTTCTACTTTGCTTATCTTTTACTCCTGACTACACTACTCATGAACCGACAATCTACAACCAAACCATACCGCATCGCTCGTCGCGCGGGTGACCAAGGAGCGCGTCGCTTAGTGAGCAACCAGGCTGGCGATGTTAAGCATGTAACTGGAAGAAATCCCGGAATGGATCTCCGAAAAGAGTACAGGATTGGTACTTGGAATGTCAGAAAGATGAAGGAAGCTGGGAAATTGAACACAGTCTGCAGCGAAATGAAAGAAAACGACATTCAAATTCTCGGACTGTCAGAAACCAATTGGAACAGCAGAGGAAGTTTCAAAACAGCCAATAACACAGTTCTTTTCGCTGGAAAAGAAAGTGGATACAGTCACGGTGTTGGAATCATACTCGCCAATGAAGTCTCGAACTCAATAATCGGCTATAACCCGGTGAATGACAGGATAATCACAGTACGAATAAAGGCCAAACCTTATAACATTAGTATAGTTCAATTCTACGCGCCAACATCCACAGCCACTGAAGAAGAGATCGAGGATTTCTACAGTCAGCTACAAGAGGTCACCGACAAAATTCCTAATAGAGACATGAAGATAATTATGGGAGATGCAAATGCTAAAATAGGGAAATCGACCACAAAAAGTGAAACACATGGACAGTTTGGACTCGGAGACAGAAATGATAGAGGAAACGAACTTATTGACTTCTGTAAAATCAACAACCTTGTTGTTACAAACACCTGTTTTCAACATCACCCAAGGCGACTTTACACCTGGATATCACCGGATGGAAAAACAAGAAATCAAATAGACTACATCATGATCAACAAAAGCTGGAAAGCTTGTGTAAAAAATGTTAAGACCTATCCGGGGGCTGACTGCAACAGTGACCACCAGCTCCTTGTGGCGAAATGCAGAGTAAGGCTAAAAAAGATACAAAAACCCCCACCTTGATTGACAATGAATACACTGTTGATGTAGAAAATAAATTTGAGGAATTGCTGAGGTGCGAAGAGGAGAAATGTCCAAATGAAATATGGGATTCAGGAAAGAGCATCATTCTCGAAATTGCCAAGGAAAAAATCCCCAAAAAGAAACAAACAAGGTTCTCATGGATTTCTAACGAAACATTGGAAGAGGTAGAAAAGAGAAGAACGATCAAAGCACGTGGCCTCGCCAGACCAGAAAACAGGACGGCATACAGGCAACAGAACGCAGTTGTCCAAAGAATGATGCGGAAAGACAAACAGCGCGCAATTGATAAACAATGCAAACAGTTAGAAGAGAAATCGGTTACTAACTCTACAAAAGACTTATACAATATTGTCAAAAATTTGACCAGAAAGTTCAAACCAGTTAATGATGCTATAAAAAGCGAGATTGGAGAAATGCTGACTGAAGGGCCACAAGTTAAAGAACGATGGAAGACATATTGTGATAATCTATACAAGAAACCAAACACCCGACTAGTCGAACAACACAAAAGGGTGCACCAAGAAGATGAACCCCCACCAACATATGCAGAAGTTGAGAAAGCGATTGGGGACTTGAAGGCAGGTAAATCTCCAGGAATAGATGATCTTCCAGCTGAACTTCTAAAGAAAGGAGGCAGCAACGTCATCCGCTATTTTCTCAAATTGTGTACAGCGATTTGGAAACAAAAAGAATGGCCGTCTGACTGGAGAACATCAATATTCGTCATACTTCCGAAAAAGGGAGACATTTCTGAATGTAGCAATAACCGAACTATCGCCTTGATTAGTCATAGTAGTAAAATTATGTTAAAAATCATAGCAAATCGGATGCAGAACAGGTTAAGTAATGAAATAGCAGAGGAGCAGGCAGGTTTTAGACCAGGAAAGGGAACTAGGGACCAAATACTTAACCTGAAAATGATACTTGAGAAGAACTGGGAGGTAGGAACAGACGTTTATCTCTGTTTCATTGACTATAGAAAAGCATTCGACACAGTGGTACAGGAAGTCCTCTGGAATGTCATGGCAGACATGGGATTCCCTGTACACATAATCGATTTAATCAGAAACTTGTATAAGTCCCAGAAAGCATCAATAAGGACGACACACGGAATGACAGACTTTTTTGAAATTGGCCAGGGTGTTAGGTAAGGATGCATATTGTCACCCCACCTTTTTAATATATATGCAGAGCAAGTAATGCGTGAAGCACTCGAACATATCCCAACAGGAATCCAAATTGGCGGAAGAGTAATCAACAACCTGAGATACGCTGATGATGTAGTCCTGATTGCACCAAGTATGCAGGAACTACAAGATTTTACCAACAAGGTAAAGGCTGCCAGCGAAACAGCAGGACTCTTTCTCAACGTCAGCAAAACAAAGATAATGAAAATAACACAGGCACCAATTATAGGGATGGGCAATATAGAATACCGAATCCGGAGGATTCGAATCCCAAAGTATTCGAATCCAACAGGATCCGATAACAGGATTCGGTTTCCGCCTCTCCGGCGCCATGCGTCGATTTTTGCATTTCGGGTTTCTAAATATCAATTAAAGACGAGCGTTTTTCTCGCGTGGAAATCTCTCTCGTTTAACTAGTCTTGCGTCTGCTCGGAAAGAACCCGTAAAATCGGTAAACTTCAAACACTGTAATCTCAATCAGCGTATTCTGGACAGAAAGTCTGCGAAGTACATCTCATGGCGAAGACTCGTTATTGCACCATTTTTGCGTTTTCGCCGGTCGTCAATTTTTGTATTTCGGATTTCTAATTTATCAATTAAAGACGAGCGTTCTTTCTCGCGTGGAAATTTCTCTCGTTTAATTAAAAATCGGTAAACATCAAACACAGTAATCCAATCGGCGTATCCTGGACAAGAAGTCGTGAAGTACACCTTACGACGAAGACTCGTTATTGCACCATTTTTTGCGTTTTCCTGCCTTGCTATCTAGCGAGGGTTTAATAATAATAATTATTTGTGCCGACTTACTGGCGATATTACGATAATCTGATTGCAACAATCTTCAATTGTTTACAGGCGTGCCTTGCTTCATTTTACATTACTGTAAATGATTTTCCGCGACCGGCGAGTTTTTCCCAGAAAATGATGCATGTAAATCAAAAGCCAGGCGTAAAATGTTATGACATTACTTGCGATTAATTTAAATCAAATATTATTACTTTTATTACACCAGTTTCCGAAATACAAAGTTATATCGCATAACACGACGATCTGTCGCATTTAAATTTCACTCCCAAAAGATTACATATCTTTCGGTCCGTTTCTATCGTTCAAGATAGACGCACGTTTGATCGAGTGTCTGTAGTAATTTTATTCGCCGATAAACTTAAAAAAAGATGCCGCATCTGGCGAAAATAGTTACGTATTGAGGTTGAGTAGAGCCAAGTCTGGGTAGATAATGATATGTAACAATAATAATAGAAATTGAATTCGTCTTTAGATGATGTTAACTAATAACTAACTACGAAATCGCATTTACGGGAACCTTGTTTTGCACGTCTTGATCGCACAGAATAATAAGTTGATTTTAATTGATAGTGGTTAAATTTAATATTTTACACCGGTGCATAGGTTGCAGTGGCCACACGCTGGTCCTGCATCTAATTAATTCTCAGCGGGTGTGTTTTAGTACACTCGACACTCTATAACATTAATAATGATTTAATGCCGTTTCATATCTATTTTTGTATTTAACCGCTTACTATTAAAGTGTTTGAAGCGTAATTTAGCATATAAGTATTTAGAGATTACATACATTTGGAACAATTGAAAGCAAAAATATTGTAATATTCTTAGATTTCATTGTCCTGGGAAATGCCTGTTTAGTATCAAATCCAATGTTAAGGACATTTCCAAATAAATAATACATTTATAGTAATACATTTATAATTTTTTGACATCTAAATCCAGCAATCAGGAAAATTCCCTCTATTTGAATAAGTATGAAAATAGAATAGGATTCGGTATTCTGGATTCGATTTGACTATCCTAGAATATTCTAGAATAGTAAATTATTCTACATTGCCCATCCCTAGCACCAAATGATATAAACTTAATTGTGGACAACCAAACTGTTGAAAATGTACAAAATTTCAACTATCTGGGTACAGTTTTTACAAACAAAGTGGATGACACCAAAGAAATAAGACGTCGTATTGCAATGGCGAAGTCAACGATGATTGCGCTGACCAATATTTGGAAAGACAGATCCATTTCACAACGCACAAAAAAACAACTTCTACGAACATTGGTATTCTCAATAGCAACATATGGAGCAGAGTGTTGGGTACTCAAGAAAGTCGACAAAAGGAAAATTGCTGCTTTTGAATTGTGGTGCTACCGAAGACTTCTGCGCGTAAGCTGGATGGACAAACGTACAAATGAATGGGTCATGGAGAAGATTGGACCGTGCCAAACACTGCTGGACAACATCAATGACAGGAAATTGCGATTTTTGGGGCATGTCGCCAGAACAGAAGGCCTAACAAAAGACTTGCTCTTTGGTAAAACCCCTGGCAAAAGAAGACGTGGGAGACCAAAAACAAGAATGTCAGACAACGTGAAGGACCTCGCAGACATAAGCATGCTTGAGTTACTCAGAATGGCACAAAACCGGAAACAATGGCGGCGATTCGTGAAGAGTGCCACGGCTGGTCAGTGATGACCATCCCGTCAGAGAGAGAGAAGATGATCATTTTCAGAGTTTGCAAAAATGTTGGTTTGATTTGAAACCTAAAACCATTCAGGTCAGGATAGGAGAGTATTTATTCTAAAAAATCTTTATAATTATGTTTCGTGCTTGCTAATATCTGAATATTATTATTATTTCAGCATTTACAACCTGACAACTAAACTCATATAATGCTACCACCACTATAGGCTTTGAATACAAAAAGACCACAATTTTGAAAGCATAACTAAAAACTGTCAAATGAAACTGGCAATTAGGCATGCATGTTTGCATCCATATTCTGTCTGGTACGTATCCTAAGATCATTAGATTACTTGCCAATCAATCACCCGCCCACCAAAAAATGAAATGAACACAGAAAAACCGTTAATGAAATAAGGCCCATGCTCAGTGAAATATCCACTGAAATTATACAAAAATGAAACACAAAACCGCCGTAACCGCCTGTTGTGGAGAGTCAGATTGAGCAATTTTGCAGACGTCCCGAAAATAAGCTTTGGATGGTGCACCCATGGGCGGCCCATACTTGGTCAGTAAACAACAATATCACGGTAATTATGTAACATTTTTTCAGGCCATGAAACGCACATTTGACATTAAGATAATTGCAGATGTTGAATGGACTCCCATCAAATTAGCGTAAAAACGAAAATTGGTACCTGTACAGGTAGTTGCCTGGATTTCTCTGATGGCAGGATGGGGTTTATCTCGGCCAAATCTAGCTAGAATCTCCCTATCTGGTTAACCAAAAAAAAACAGAAACATTGAAATATAGGTTATCATCAAGGTGCGCTACGTCTAGCTTGTTATGGATTGATACAAATTTTCATGTTGTTGATACAAAAAACTACGGTACTGAACTAATTGCCAGCAAAGTAGTTAGAAGTGAAAGTGACGGGGCGGCGGTCATGCAAATTCTCATAAAAAACATTCTCGCAAAAGTTCGTAATAGAAAATAATAGAAAACTATATTCGCGCAATAAGTCATTTTAGTAAAACTACATTTACTCAAAAGCCTGTTTCCTAAATCTAAATTATCGCATTTCAAAATCCATTTGAGAAAAATTTATCCTAGTGGCACTAACTACGGTACGTTGATACAAAAGTAGGGACTTCGCGAATCTTTTTTTTCGAAAATCTATTGCCGTGAATCCACATGCGCAGGCCGTGTTAAGCCACGAATATTTGCAGATTAGTGCATTATTTAGTGGTAGCAGGTTGGTAAGTACGAAATTAAGTTTTATTTCAACCGCGCAATCAGCTTGAAAGTACTTATGATAAACTACAACTGGCATAAAAGAAACGACCAAAGGTACCGTACCGTACCAATTTACGGTACATCGTACAGTCGTAGTCTATGTCTGTATGTAGCCTTAGTCTGTAAGTGATTTTCATTCTGTAATTACAAGTACTGTACCGGTACGGTACCGTACTGCCACTGGTACCGGACCATCAACTCCATAAGTCTGATTTAATGAGATTGATTTTAAACAAATAACTGGCCACCATAACTAATCTAATAACGGTACCATAAAGCTTTTTTGCTGGTCAGCGAGAAATTTTGTTGTAGGCTATTTTTTTGCTGTCTCAATCACTTTACCAAAGACGAAATTGCGTTTGTTTATTGCACAACTTTTTTTCCGCTGTCATATTGCGACGTCTTTCGTGACATCTAGGCTTCGAGTGATCACACTTTCCGCTTTTTCGACTCTGATTCATTGCAAATGCGCTCCATCAAATCTCGCAAGTTTCAGAAACCTAAAAATCGGCACCTGTGCTTTCTGTTCTGCATGCTTTTTCTGGGTAATATGACCATCCATATGAAACGTTATGCATATATCTTCGTTTAAACCAGAAAACAGTCAAGAACAGTATACAGGTATAATATTAGTGACATTGTAATTGTAATGTAAATTCATTTTGTTTGAGGCGTTGATCAACTGCTGAGGGTTTAATATGACAAACCCGATAAAAAAGAAAACGCACAATTGAAACTGTGATTCTACTTTACAGTCCAGATTTAAAAAAGAAACTTGGTCACAATTTTGGATATATCTTGATAACGTGTACGCATCGCTAAGTAATCCAGCAGTCAAACTTTTGTCCATATTTTCAACTAGTTACTTATATATACGTTGCACGAAAAAAACATTTTCATCGCTAGCTTGCTTTAAAAGGAAGCAAAAAACGGAGGAGAGGCCGTGGTTCGTCAAATAATTAAGCCGTCCTACTCCTCTCAACTTTTTCTCTCTCCAGGATAAATATGTCAATGCTTCATTATCGGCTATAGTTATCAATTATGATCATAGAAAATTAAATAATATTGTCTCACGACAGTAATATCTAGATACCGAAGTTTGAAATCAAATATCTTAATACAGAAATAGTCGACTATTTTAATTCTAAAGTTTTGCCCTAGTTCTGTAGTTTTGTACAGTTATTATCTGTTTCATGTTGTTCTACTCTACAGTTCTATATTGCTATGTTTTTTCTGTTTCCTGCTGTAGTAAGCCCATCTGGAAATGTCACCATTAAATTCCACAGTAACAATATAATCTGATTCACTTGCAGGAAAATTACAATGTAGTGTCCGAAAGCAGTGCATATTCTGGTTCCAAATTCAGGAATCTATTGTGTCGTTTCAAATTTTTAAGTCCTAATTTTAGTTTTAATTACAAAAGTTGCAATAATTAACTTATATTTCTGTTTTAGTCAGTTAGTACAGTCTATTTACTAGCTAGTAATTTATTTAACGATAATTTTGCGCTGTTTGTGAAAGAGTATAACAATGTCGGATAGTGATGGAAGTGCAAGTGAGTTTTCTGATGATGAAGATGAAGGAGATTATAATCAAAATAGACGAACCAATCAATTTAATGACAGTGAAGCTGAGGAAGCGGGTGTAAGATAATAGTCTTTATATAAATGATGTTTTTCCCTTATCTAAATTTTAATTAACAAACTATTGCAGAGATGCGGCGGAGTAGAGTTGAAAATTGAAATCTGACACCTACCTAATCCAATTTATGAGCCAATTCGAAAACAACACCGCCTTTGTGTTGTCAAAAATTTCAACTTTTACACCAGGTTGAAGCAAATATGACTTTGACTTCAGTCCTGAAGGCAAATTAGCGAGTCGTCTTCTATTATCTGTTGATAATACTCTGACAACTCAGATAATTTTTTATTAGTTTCTGTAAAAAATTTTGACTTTGGTCATCATCATTCATTTTTGAAATTTCGACTGTGCTTATCGACTTTTCGACTTCTGCTCATGCTGCTGGTGAGTTTGAAATTACGACCTATGTCAATAAGAACATACATACTTAGTCTCCACAGCGCTGCGATATTATCCAGTTATTAAACCCAACTTAGAATCTGGTCTATATTTCTAAAACAAAAATACTTTTAGGTGTATTTATTCTTTTTTGTACTAAAAATTGAGCCAAAACAAGGATGTAACCTATCCACTCAACATTTAAGCGCAAAACTAGGGATATCCATCAATTCGACTGTGAATTTAATTTTCTTGTTGTCACAGGAAAATGAAGTGAGTGATGATGAACCAGGATCAGAACCAGGAAGTGATGAAGCTGAAAGTCTCGATGATAAAGATGAAAGTAGAGGAAGAGAGGATGAATATGATGAAGAAGAAGAGGAAGAAGAACGACCTTCAAAACGTCCTCGACATGGAGGCTTTATTATTGACGAAGCTGGTGAGTTGTAGAATTTCACTTGATAAATGCCTATCATTTTTAATGAAGATGCAGTAGTCGACTATTTGTGGAAAAAATTAATACGCTCAAAGTGTTTCCTTAAAAACTACTGCTGTGGTGTTCACGCTCTTTCCCTGAAAGTAATGATTTGATTTTATATTTTTGTAGCTATAGAACTTGGTTTGAACGATTTGTATAACTAAAAAGATTCTTGGTTTGTAAATTAGTCAAATCCCAAGTTCCAACAGAGTCCAGTCGCTTTACAATTTAAGTTATGTTGAGTCCAGTTCTCAAAATAACAAGGTTTGTTGTTTTTTAATCGGAAAGTATTTTTACTTCATTTAACACATTTGTGAGGGCCAAAACAATATGTGGTATCGATAAATTCCCTTTGCAATTAAAAAAAAAAGTTTAAGGCTTTATGGACACCCAATATAACAACTTTATAAGATATTTATAACTCTTTTTTTCTTCTATTCCAGATGTTGACGAAGGAGACGAGGACGAGGAAGAATGGGAGGAAGGAGCTGAAGATATTCTGGATAGAGGTTTGTTGTTATTGAGATTTGTAATATTGTTTCAATATTTACAATGTGAATATTTTTTATTTGAGTATTTTTTCTCGCACAAATACCTAGAAGTACAAGCTAGGGATGTCCAAAATGAATTGAACATTTGAATACATTCAAGATCAATTATATTTGATAAAGTAAATTCTTAATTTGAGAATTTATTTTGAATAGTTTCATCTAAAAATTTGTCACTTTGTGAGCACTTGAGATCTAATGACCAGACAAAAAATAGACTTCATTAAGCTTCTGTCATTTTAAAATTAGAAAGTTAGTAAAAACAGTATTTATCTCAACCATTTTTTTATGAATTTACATTGTTCATTCTAATTTCTGTATTGAAAGTGGCTAAATTTGAAATATATCCGATATTCCATATTTACGGAATATCATTTCAAATTGTACTCGAAATAAAAAAATCTCGAATTCGGCCATCCCTGGTAAATGGCTAAACAGACATTTGTTGTACCTATTCAATTCTATAATTTTGATCCTGAGCATATCACAACAATATTTGATAAAATTGAATTATCATTATTTTATCTTCATTATAGTACTTGAAATGTGGAACCGCAATGTTCTAAATATTACCGTAATCAGTTTTCCTTGATTTACTTAACAATTGAAACAAAAGTATCAATCAGTTTTTAAGTTCGTTATTTGTCTACTATCTGAAACTTGATAGTAACTTGTATTTAAGTTCCATTTTGTAATCGTGCATTTAGTTCATTGCTATTGGCAATAATGCTTGTTATTGTTTCATTGGAATTGATGTCTTTGTGCGTTGGATGTGAGCAAAGTAACCAATGGTTTACATGTAGGGAGGGATGGCCAAAACTAAATGTATCATTATTCTGAATACATTCTGAGAAAATATTTTCAAATATGGATTATCAAATAAATTCTAAATTGAGTGCAAGATTACATAAATCACTATATCTATAAAGTTTTTGTTTGTTATCAGTTGAGATATCATACGGTTTGATTTGTTTATCTGATCTGATGGCTCGAAAATCCCTAATTTTTCAAATAAAATATTCTAAATGATTCCTAAATTTGAAATTTTTTTTATATTGAATATAATAAATTTCGAATATTCGATCAGTTTTAGATATCCCTGGTAAATACTAATATTTCTCAAACATTCTATAAAAATATTTTTGAATATAAGAAAGAATATTTTTAGGAATGGCTTATTTAACAAAGAAGGCAGGCAGACAAGTCAATAAATGTTCAGTGTCAGTGGTATTGAATTGCAAAAAGAAAGAATTGTACTAAAAACAATGATTTGATTTGTTTACTATTTTTACAATTTTTTTAAAGTGAAATTAAATCTTTTTAAATTACACTGTGGGGATTTATTTGTTCAAAATTATAAATTTCAAATATATCAACTAATCTAAATTATTCCTAAAAACTGGAATTTAAAGCAGGGGTGTGCAGCCTTTGATACAGGAGGGCCAGATAACAATTAACTGGGTGAAACCGCTTGCCGTGTCTTTTTTCAACATAAGCTTTCTAGTAGTTGCAAGCACAAAAATTTTGATTAGCTAGATGTTATGGCATTGTATTGTCATTGACATAGATCAGGGGTCGGGAACCTTTTTGGTCGAGAGAACCATAAAATGTACATATTTTAAATTGCATTTCCGTGCAAGCCATATAGCATTTCTTCACTTAATCAGGCCATCAGGCTCACATGCAGCACAAGTTATGAAATTTACGTTACTCATCACCCTTCTTCCGTTCAAGCATCTGCGACTCTCCGTAGTATTTTAAAAACTAGCTTTGCTAGCCCGATATAAGTATGAAAAATACTGTAACCAGTACGTGCAAAGGGACTAAGAGCTTTTCTCCATAGCTCAGCGCGACTCCATCGCTCTGTGATGTCACAAAATATGTTCCAGAATCACTTGTTTTATCACAATGCATGTCTGGTAATTCTCTCACATAACATAAGATTTGTTTTGCGGGCCACATTTAGCCCACGAGCCGCAGGTTGCACACCTCTGATTTAAAGTATCAAATATAATGAATCTTGAATCTATACATTCGTTTTGGACATCCCTGTTTAAATGGTTCAGTCAAACTTCATTATATTTTTTCTACTAAATTTAATGGAGTCAAACTGTATTCTGTATTACTGATTCAACTATTGAAAATTATTTTCTTTTTCAATTTTCTCATAGATGAGGAGCAAGAAGGTAAAAGCATCATTATTGCTTGCCTGTCTGTTGCAATTTCTGCCTAGCTTTCTAACTTTCTAATCATTGCTGCATCTGCGTGCTGGTGATCGTAGTTTTTGTTATGATTTACCATGAACAGCTTGCTGCATACATGATAACAGAGGATTCGCAATCATGTGTAAATTTCTCTTCTGTAGTTTTTTTTTTATAACTAAGATTCTTTCGAGTATAAATGAACAACATCCATCCTATCTATCCTATCCTTATATTTTTTTAAGTCCAGGTTTTTAATAAACTAAACTATATTCTCAAGTGTAATTAATTTATTATAGTTAATTTGGAGATCAACAAAAATCCTAATAATGTAATTACTTCAGTTTTCCTCTTATTTTTGTCATTTTACTATAGTATTATTAACAATAAAAAGCTTATATTCCCAATTTTCATGCCATTTTGGCATGCTTTTCTTTGGATTTGATATTCTGCTCAAAATATCCAAAATTATAAAGTGTTCATTTCACAGAGCGCTTTTAAATTAATTACATAAACCCTATTTATCACATTTTGTAACTCACCTTCATTTTTTTGCCAGTAATGAGTTTTGCCTTGTATCATTCTTTTTCTAATCTTCAGTCACTGATTTAAACTTTCGTTTATCGAATATGATTTTAAATGGCATCATTATACACATGCATATACAATAAGTACGAAGCATAAATAAATATCATTGTGAATTGTGATATAGTGTGACAAATTATTGATATGTTTCAAAACTCTGAGATGTGCCTTCTGAAATAGTGTTTGTTTTTACATTTGTTTTTTGACTCTTATTTCCTGTCCTAGTTCAGCTTCAGCAGCATTTTACTAGACATAAAATGAAAACTTTTTTTAAATCACTATGTTTTAGGATTTGCAGCATTAATCAAATCATCGAAAAGCTAGTCTCAAAAATTTGTTTGTTTTTGCGCCAGATAATGTTTTTCTTTCATTTCCATTCGGTTACGTTTTTGTTATTTTGGTAGATCACAGAATGCATTGCATGGAGACCAAAAAATAGGCATAAAATTCTACTAAATATTTTCTTCGATAATTCAATTATTGTTTGTTAACTAAGATGTTGAACTCAACATATTTCTTTAAATTTATAATTTCGATGCTTGGTGGATGTTGATTGGTGTTGACTTGCGATAATCATTTCAATTTGACTAATTTGGTGTACTTGGTACTTTCTGTTTCAGCTACCAATTTTATCACTGTCGGTAGCGTCTGTTATAACACAGTTTTTAATTTATGCATTATCTGTAAAAATGCACACACAATCTTAATTTTTCATCACTGCATTGGCTTTTTTACATACGATACAAAAGCCTAACGAATCTTCATATCAGTGAAGAAATTTATTTACAGCCACTACGCATCACCTCTGTTTGAATGTAAAAGTAAAATACTTATTCAATAGGTATCAGATTTTCCTATTTTATTTAATTACACATAATAACATCACAATATATTGCAATGAAATATCCTCTATTAATATTGAGACAAATATCTTAAAGATAGATCATTATCTGATAAACTAACGAACTTATTGCAATCAAAGTGTTACATTTTTTTGATTTTATATTGTATGTTAAAGTGAGTTTTGTATTGGAAGTTTTATTAACCACACAACTAGTTTTAGAATGATATATGGCTAGAGTTTTGCTTTCTTCAATTAAATATATTGTCGTGACTCGTGACTATCGTTATTAGCATTTGGTTCTTAGTTCTCATTTAAAATAATGATCTGTGGTGTACAGGATCAGTATTATCTGTAGATAAGTTTGTCAAAAATTTGGAATTTTTTAACTACCGGTAAGCCGCCTATACTTGTCATATTACCCGCATGGTTTCAGAATTGATTCGGATAAGGTTTTCTTGGATGCACCTTTTGTCACTGTTCTTTTTACCTCAATCATTTTCTTCCTAGTAGCAGTTGAATCTTCTCTCAATTTTCACTGAGCCATCATGCTCTACTGTAGTGTCTTTAGTTATTCATATAGCAAAATTGAAATTCTTAATATGAGTTTGCTCTATTTTGGTTGTTGCATAAAATATGAAAATTGCTTCGCCAAAAAGAAAGTAAATATACGGTAATCTTTTATAAATATCACTTCGGTTTTAAAATTATATTTAATCTTTTTAGCATCCAATGCAGAAAATTTGCAAGAAACCATGGAAAATGAAATGTCTGGGGCAAGAAGACTTCAGAACTTTCTCAGGTATAATAATAACATTATCCATGAAGTTTTGAAATAGAATCTTTTATCTTTCTAGATACAAAATTAACCCTCTGCTTATAGTAGGCCTATTCAATACTTTTGGGATCAATTGACTTGTTATTTGATGATATTTGTGTTTCTGGAATTCTGGGTATGCAATTTCTTCTTAATCTTTCAGTAAACACAGTCTGCATTAGAGTGATATCTCAGTCCTGGTGGCACCTTCTACATTAATATTAAACTGATTTAATTTATTTATACATTCGTCCCGAAGTGCCGATACAATGATGCTGTAACAGTTTCCGCTGTTTTTCCCAGTTTTGTCAAAAAGTCTTTCTCGGGTAATTTTTGATTACAAGGTCAAGACATTTTTATGTTCAGGATTTTATTACTTTTAAGAATGCATCTTACAAAATCTTTCACACATATGGTAATTTTTTTTATTCTCAGTAATGAAGGGGCAGAAGAGCTTGGTGAATATTACATGAGGAAATATGCAAGTGGAAGCAGTAGAAAAGCAGGGTGAGTAAATTAACTTGCATGATTTATAATATTTTAAATACACAACATGTGACTTGAGAATTTACTTAATTTATTCTAGCTTCAATTCTTGATATTATATCCAACGATTTTTAAAAAGTCTATGTCTAAATAATTTGATATTCTTGAATAAATAATGTTGTAGTATAGTATACAATTTAAGAATATGAAAACACATTATTTGGAAGCAAAAGTATGGTAGGCTTACTAGGCTATATGACTTTTATCATATTCATAAGCATCAAATATTTCAGGAAACCCATGCTATTTTGATTACCGGGAAAAGTTTTTTCAGCAGTATATGGAAATTTAAAAAAAATGTATGTCTGGAATACCTGTGCCTGGCTAAAATTGGTCCGGGCATATGATGATGGCATTCCTGCTTTTAGGCTCGTCTTATATATCTGAATACAAACACAAATATTGGAAGTTACTTATATTTTGCTAATTATTCAAACACTTCTTGCATCCACATTCAGTTATGGAGGAGAATATGAAATGCCTGATGAAATCAGTCAACAACAGTTACTGCCTGATGTCAAAGATCCAAACTTATGGACGGTCAAATGTAAGATCGGAGAAGAAAAAGCTACAGTACTTCAACTGATGAGAAAATTTGTGGCAATGCAATACGGGGAAACACCTTTGCAGATCAAGTCCGTGGTAGCACCTGAGGGTCTGAAGGGTGAGATTTGTTGTTAGATTGATATCAAATAAAGCAATAAATAAATTTGAAGGCATTCTCTGAATATTACCTGTTGATAATTATTGTTTTTGAAGTAAAATTTCATATGATTGATTGAAATTTATATCAAAGTTATTTGGAATATGTTCAGCATCTCTATTGATAATCGAACTATAATAGGCTATTTAAAATTGGAACAACTTTTCAGCGCACATCAACAACCATAATGTGTCTGAATGCCTGATACAGTCGGTCAGTTTTGACTTCTCTCTCAACATTAATTTGAGCGGATTTGACCATTTTAAACATTTCTAATCTCTTGTGGATAAAAATTAGTTTTTCATGAAATGGATTGACATGCCACACTCGGAAGCGTCCGCCCATGCCTGTAGGTTGGGTACCACTGAACAACGCCATCTCATCATTTCATATAATAAACTTGAAAATTCTACCACAGTTTCGTTAATTTTTATATTTAAATTTTACCAGGTTATATTTACATTGAATCATTCAAGCAAACTCATGTAAAACAAGCAATTGAAGGAATTGGAAACTTGAGACTTGGATATTATAAACAACAGATGGTTCCTACAAAAGAAATGCCTGATGTTATGAAAGTTTTGAAAGAAGTTACAAATTTAAAACCTAAAATGTGGGTTCGATTAAAAAAGGGAATTTTCAAGGATGATTTAGCGCAGGTGACCAGTACTGTATTATATTTGTGTATGATGCTCTTGCACTGATTTCACTCCAAATAAGTCACTGTACACTGAGATGCCTGATGCTCAATAGTAATCTACCTGAAATGTACATTGCGAAATTTATATTTAAATTATTATTGTTGAATGCTTAGCAGCTTAACAACACCTTGCTCATCAATTTGCCTCAAACAAGGCTATGAACAAAATTCACTTAGATATTGGATTGAATACTGGAATTATTTTCACATGTATGCTTATCCCATGTGAGATAAATATGTGCCAGAGGATTGCTGACCTCGTTTTATTGGGGGTTCACATGAATCGCAGATCATTCATGGCTGTGGTTTGCCAAATGTTTAAGCGCGTTGTCAATTTTTTTTTTTTGGAAAAAGTATGGTAACCCTAACTCCCAACACCCTTTAATCCAGGGGTTCCCAATGTTTTTTTCAAGCGACCCAAAGTTTGTGAAAAATAAAATTTGTTAAATCTCGGCCTCAAATATTAATTAATATTTATTTGCCATCAGCGATTTTTTTAAATCAGGTCATGGCTTAACTAAAACAAGTCAGATACCTAGAAGTTTCGGCGCTGTTATACTTTCCACATATATAATTACGGGGCTCCCGAAGTATGCGAACCAAGATGGCGGACATCGGAATGTAATATGTGTACTAGGTTAGGGTTAGGCCATAATTTTAGGTATAAATACTACGGGAGGCTCTCGGCTAGTCTTCGAACTGATAATAGGACTAAAATAAGGAAAATTGGAAAAAAATTATCGCCTAACACTAACCTGTTACCCATGTTACGTTCCGATGTCCGCCATCTTGGTTCGCATACTTCGAGAGCACCATAATTACTATTGAGCAACACTTCAATTCAATACAAAAAACAAAAATAAACATCAGAATCGACTACAAAATAAAATCACTAACTTCAATATTTTGGGTCACGACCCATAGGTTGGGTAACACTGCTTTAATTGACACTTGAAAAACTTTTTATGAAATATCTATTTATTTGATACAGGTTGATTATGTTGAGCCAAGTCAGAATCAAGTTTCATTGAAGTTAATTCCTCGCATTGATTACACAAGATTACGAGGTGTTTATCGAGGTACAGATTCTGAAAATAGAGAAAAAAGAAAATTATACAAGAAACCTCCACAAAAGTTGTTTGATGTTGATGCTGTTAGGTATGTTTGGGCCAGGGATGGTCGAATACATCCTGAAATAATGTTATTAAATATATGTTCTGAGTTGGTCTTAGCAAAAGACAAACATGTTTATATGGTAATAGGGATTGTATTTCATAAGGCAAAAAAAATTGATTTTTATAGTTTTAATTGGATTTACACCTGCTACATTCATCAGAAATTAAATGAATGACTTATTTGCTAACAAGTTACATCAGTAAAATAAAATAAAAGGTTTTTTTTTTCTTTTTGTGATGAATTTTCATGACATGAGAAAACATTCTCTAGTTTTGCGTTTCACCTATCTTATTGTAAGTTTGTAACCATTTACACTTCAGGGCCATTGGTGGTGAAGTGACAACAGATGCTGATTTTCTAATATTTGAAGGAAATAGGTTCAGCAGAAAAGGTTTTCTATACAAGAACTTCTCCTTGTCTGCAATTGTAAGTTTATTTTTGTTAAAAAATAGTCCATTTCATTATACAGAAGAAATGTGGGCATATGGTTAGTGCAAAAACTTGCAAGCAATGATTAAAATATTGAAAATGTAACTAGAAGCTTAATTCAACGCGTGTCAAGAGAAAACTATTAACATCACTATTCTAAATCATGCCTATCAAAGCTGAAGCCCCCAGACTCCAGCCCAGTCCGAGTTTTTCAGTTGTATTTAATAGAGTGTTCTTCATTTTTATCTTGTATGCCATTGGAAAAGCAGCCGTGTATGTGTAGACGCCTTGTGGGTTGGGCAGGACGGGGTCTGGAATATTTCTGTTTGACGTCACTTTTAATTAAGTAAAACTTTCACTCAAATTTGTTTGTATTTATTTTTAGACAGTAGATGGAGTCAGACCAACATTGTCAGAACTTGAGAAATTTGAGGAACAACCTGAAGGTGTTGATATTGAATGTAAGTTGAACCTCAGTTGCGACGAAATGCTCGGAAATTAGGGTTTGAATTCATTTTTCGTGAAGTTCTATGTTTATTGAATCTATGGACCTTGAAGATAGGACTCCAACTGAACTAGTGTCAGATAGTAGTGTGATATGTTCCACTTATAACATTAAGTTTCATCAGTAAAATTTACTGTTTTCAATTGGAATATGGACCTATTTATGGTGTTAAATTTGAATTGCAGTGGTGGCTGAAAGTACAACTAAAGCTGAGAAAGAACATAGTTTTGCCCCTGGTGATAATGTGGAAGTTTGCGAAGGAGAACTCATCAATCTACAAGGAAGAGTTATCAGTGTAAAAGGAAATAAAATAACAATTATGCCCAAGCATGAAGATCTAAATGTAAGTGTTTGTGTGAGTGATAATATCATCATATCAATCGGTTGTTCTTTGACTTTGACTCATTTAAAATACTATCTCTGTTCGACGTCTGGTTGAAGTTTTTAAATTACCATATGTATAACAATCTTTAACACTATCACAAGTCTTGCAAATCGCAGAAGCTCTGTTGTGATATAAACCATTGCCAACACTTTATCTAGAGATATTCAACTTAAATCATATTATTGCTCATTGAATGCCCTGATTCTCCTGATTACATTTTGATACTAGTAATATCAAATGACCAAAAAACACTTCGCTTTGGCTTTTTATGTTTAAATTAAATATTTTGCGACTGCAACCCATGCAATATCAAAGAAAGATTATATTCCTTTTCTGATATGATATTCATATTGATGAATTTTTGTGCTGTAATATATTTTCTTTTCTTCTAGGATCCTCTAGAATTTCCAGTTCACGAATTGAGAAAACATTTCCAAATGGGAGATCATGTTAAAGTTATTGCAGGAAGATATGATGGAGATACAGGTTCGTTGTTTACTTTTCAATTTCATTTTATTTGTAATCCTAATGGCTGTAACGTATTAGATTGTCTCAACTAATTAGAAGTAATACCACACAGTGACTTGCTTGTCTAGAACAAATGAAACATTTTGCAGTTGGAAGGTTTCTGCACATTTCTACTGAATAATAATTGATAGAATAGAAAATCGGAAAAAAGTCTGAGGCTTATTCCTTTCTTTTCATTCAATCACAGGTTTAATAGTGAGAGTTGAAGAACGTATGGTTGTTCTATTCTCTGATCTAACAATGCATGAAATGAAAGTATTGCCGAGAGATTTGCAGTTGTGTGCTGATGTTAGTTCTGGTGTAGACTCTGTAGGAAAGTTCCAATTTGGTGATCTGGTCATGATTGAGTAAGTTGGCATTTAGTGAATTTTCTATGTTTTTTGTGTACCTATGCTCTTAACAAGGCTCCAGACAAGCAACCATTGATAATAATGAAAAAATAGAAAAAAAATTTTATCATATACACTGACTTAGAATAGCATTGATAAATTTTATTCGGATAATGCGATAGCAATCATATTTCTTCTTCGTGCTGCGTTGTGAGACTATGTTTTATTAATTCGACTGGCATCTAAAATGTCCCAAGTATTGCATTATTTAAATTCAATTCACCCAACTCAATATCATTTGAATATTTTTTTCAAATTTACCTCATATTCGGCAATTGCGTATTTTAGAAGAGTATTAGCTCAAATTGAGGTCATTCAGAAGTAAATGAGACTTTTTTTGAGCAAAATTTAGCGGTGGCCACTGGAATTCCATGGAATTGATATTTTGTGCTGATTACACCATTCCCTCTTACTTGTAAAAGCAGCAACTGGTGTATAACGGTATGTAAGGACCTACAGCAGGGCTACTCAACTGGCGGACCGTGTTTCGAATCCGGACCTTTCGAGTATTTGATTTGGACCTCAACTACTTCTTTATTTTGAATTATTAGCCCCACTTTAAAGTTTTACTTTATAAAATGACTTTTATTGTTTTGAATACCTATGAAAAGAACTATAACGCCATAATAAACAATCTTGATTTGCTAATTATCATTAGCCGGCCGAGGAAGTGCGCGTTTAAGGATGTCAAAATCTAATTTCTGGAAACACTGGACCCAAATAATTTTGAAGTTTTGGGGAAAAATAGTTGAGTATCCCTGACCTACAGTACTTTTCATTAAAAGGCTGGAATCTCTCCAGTTTTTCATTACCTTCAATTTATTACACACCGCATTTTTTGTTTTAGTAATCAGACAGTTGGGGTGATTGTCAGATTGGAGAGAGAAAATTTTCAAGTTTTGTCAATGCATGGTAAACTCAAACAGATGAAACATCAGGCAGTAACGAGACGACGTGACACAAGAAATGCTGTTGCTCTCGACGCAGAACAAAACAGCATACAAGTTAAAGATATTGTCAAAGTTATTGATGGTGCACACTCGGTAATTTGGATAATTGATTTTCATGATTTTTTATGAATTTCCTAATATTTATATTCTGCAGAGAAGAAAGTTAGTTTATGTATTTGTTCCAGATGCATGGAACTAGTGTTTACAAATATATAAATGAAATGGAGCAATAATTATCAGCGAAAACCTCATAATTTATGTTGCATTTATTTTTTGCTTTTGGTAATTCAAATTGGTAGTTTTCATTTGTGATTCAATTGGATCAATGAGGTGGAATATGCTTTGTTGTGGGAATGTGGCATCTAGTTTCACATACAGCACTTATATATTAAAATGATTCAAATTTTTTTCAAATGGCTTATTCGTCGCATTTCGTAGTTCTTCAACCAAAAGTTCTTCTGAGTTGAATTATAATTTTTAGGCGGTAACTGTCAATCATAGAATATTTAGAGAAGCTGATTCAATAAATGGGTTGTATTTCGATAATTCAGGGCAGAGAAGGTGAAATCAAGCATTTGTACCGGGGATATGCATTTCTTATGTCAAAGAAAATGATTGAAAATGGTGGAATATTTGTTGTAAGAACAAGGCAATGTGTTCTGGCTGGTGGATCAAGGGTAAGTTGCAAGTAATTTGGGGGTATTAATATATTTATTACTAGATGATGCTTTTTATATGGGTATGAAAGGATGAGTAGTGTACTGGGTTCATTATTATCATTAGTTTTCTTGGTACTCCTGAAGTATGCGCACCAAGATGTTGCACAACCTGAACCCTAACCTGGTACACAACCTGAGTTCAGGTTGTGCGCCATCGTGGTGCGCATACTTCGGGAGGTCCGCTTTCTTTGCACGGCACTTATCCACATCTTGTGCTCCCAACGAAGCCCAGTACATGTATGATGTATCTAACGATATATGACAATATGTAATGAGCTACTCTTTTTGGAAGAACTAGAATCTTTTACGGTTTGATATTGCCTACCCAACTTATTACTACTTCTGCTTAGATGTGGTTCATAAAGAAAGTCATAACTAACCACCCTCATGGATTAATGACCATGTTATTGATGCATGTCTAAGTGAGCCATCCTTGAAGCACTTATTCTTTAAATTCATTTTATTTTTGAAGCCAAGTGCGATGGGAATTGGTATATTTGCACCACAAAGTCCAAGAATAAGCAGTCCTGCTAGAAACGATTCAGGAGGAGGAGGGGGTGGGAATTTTGGTGGTGGAGGAGGACGCGGCAGAGGAAGAGGACAAAGAGATACAAGCATTATTGGTTCGTTCACATCACGTCTTTTGTTGGTTGCATGTTTCGTAGCGTAGTTTTTTGTATAATTTAAAAAATACTTTCGTTTGCTGTTAAACTTTTTTTGAGTAATTTGCTCAAAGTAATGTCACACACACTTGAGCACTCACTCAGAGGTAAAAGAGACTCATCTCTGAGAAAATTTGCACCGGTGGACTGCTCCGAGTATAACGAATTATGGTTGTGCATTATGTGGCAGTAAATTCCAGTTGGTGTAGACAGAGCATTTGAAGCATCTGAATTAAATTTTCTGATAAATTTAAAAAAATTTCAAAGGTCAAACAGTACGAGTGCGACAAGGACCCTATAAAGGACATATCGGTGTCGTTAAAGATGCCACTGAATCTACTGCCAGGATTGAATTACATTCCAGTTGCCAAACTATATCTGTTGACAGAAGCAGACTTTCAACAATGTATGTATTGAGTAGTTTTTTTATATTTGTTAAAATGACAGTAAGTAATAATTTGTTGTCTGCGTTTACACACTTTCTTCTTTTTATTAAAGCAGTTTGAATTGTCCTATGTTTGCCAATACTCAGAAGAGACTTTGGACTAGGTTTTTAGTATGTTCCAAGCATTTGTATTATATATCATTATCATGTTATAAATATGTAAATCTGTAATTCTCAAAGCCGAAAGTGTGAAACAATTCATAAAAAATATAACTGATAACTGACCTATTTTTCAAACACTAGATTAAAAGATTTAATCTGTTCAGGGATAAAAGAGCAGGAGCTGGAGGACGAAGCACTGCGTACCAGAGAACTCCAATGCAGGGATCACAAACTCCAATGTATGGAACTGCTGGATCTCGTACTCCTATGTATGGATCACAAACTCCACTTCATGATGGTACGTATGAGACATTGTCAAAATCATTTTGAATCAAGTTATTCTTCTTTGGTTTTAGTTATTTATATTTCAGTTTTTGTTATAATTTTTTTCCTTCTTAATACTCATTAAAAAATAATGTGTATAAAATGTAGAAGAATTCCAATCTGTTCTCAATTTATTGTAAATGCATTGGTGCATATCTTCCTTTTCTTATTTGAAGTATCCTGATCTATTCCATGATCAATTTATGAAATTGTGTTTTATTTAAAAAGTACAGTAGAAGGAGAGTGATCGTAATTTATCACTGCAGGATTATAGATAAAAAAGCATTGAAACTGTTGTAGATTTTAGGATGGAACCACTAGCGTTTCATTTATATTCAAGTTGAATTGGGTTTTGATAATCTTATTTTATTTTTGTAGGGAGCAGAACGCCTCATTATGGCGCTCAAACACCACAACATGATGGCAGTAGAACTCCACGAGAGTCTGGAAGTGCCTGGGATCCTACAAATGCAAACACTCCTGCTCGTACTTCTGAATTTGACTATGATTATGAATCTGCTTCTCCTGCGCCATTTGGAGGGGCGACACCCAACCCACAAACCCCAGGCTATGCATCAGATGTTCCCTCGCCTCAAGCTCCATACTCTAACCCCCCACAAACCCCGGGAAGTTACGCGGGTGATAGGACATACTCACCATATGGAGCTCCGTCACCATCTCCCCAAGCTTATCAAGGTAAATATAAATTCTTAGTGCTAAAATAAAAATAATTGAAAAAATTACAAAGAAATAGATGCTCTTCAAGCTGATTTTCTGATCAAAAATTGGAGCGACGTATTCCAATAAAAAATTGGGAGGTATTGGAAAAACAAGAATATATGTTTTCACATGACATGGATAAGCTGATAGACTGCAAACATGATCAATTCTGTTGCCATATTAATAAATAGGTACACAAGTTTTTCCATTTTGGGTTGAATCCTTCAATATGTAAACTCTCCACAGAAGAAAAAACTCAGAAGTTTGCTTATTTTTCAATATAATATGGTGAATGATATGTATCTTCAATTAACAATGGGGATTACTATCTATGTCTATTCGGTTATCTTGTATGTACTTATTAGCTGGCAAACAATGCAGTGTTTACTAAGTTTAGTTTATGACACAAAATAGCAAAAGTAACAAACAAAAGTATTTTCAATTTAATTCCAGCTACTCCAAGTCCAGCAGGTTCAGGGTATCAGCCAACAAGTCCAGGATACAATTCATCCGGAAGTTCTTATCAACCAAGTCCATCTCCACAAGGATATCAGCCTTCCCCAGGAGGTTCAAGTTATCAAACACCATCTCCAGGAAATTTCCAGGTGACATTTGCTTTTATATCAGAAGCTAAGACTAGGGGGTGAATGGACTATTGTATGACTACTACGAGTATTGGATACTAAGCAGACCCATGGATTGTTGTGATTGAATTGTTTTGAAAATTTAATTTTCTTTGCAACTAAAAAACTAATCGATTTTAAGTTTTTATTACTTAAAGATAAAGGAAGTCACCAGAAATTGTCTCATTAGTCCCATGAGAATAAATACATTTCACTACAAATTGTGCTGAATTAATAATTCACGGCACACTTTAATATGACATTCAGTACAATTTCATTTTTAAATTTTGCTTTCATGTTGCTGATATCGTTATGACCATATAAGTCACACCATATATTTGAGCATTGCTCTTTTGTTCAATTTGTGACGCTCAGGCTACGCCGTCACCACTCGGTTACCAGCCAACTCCAAGTCCCGCTGATTACACGAGTCCGTTGACACCTGGAGGTGGTTACTCAACACCCGGATCAGTTGGGTCTGCTTTGGATCATGCAATAAATACAGACTGGCAAACTGTGGACATTGTTGTCATGGTAAAAGATAGTCATGATGAAGGCCAACTCGTTGGAAAACTGGGCGTCGTCAGGAGTATAACAGTAAGTGGATTTTTTAATTAATTTGAATGAGTATCACGTCATTTTGGATGAGCTTTTTGCTATTTTCGGATCATTTTCTGTGCAGCAAAACTTGAAACATAATTTAATAATAAAGTGGTTTACGCAATGCAGGTTGATCTCAATTCAATCCACTCTTTTTTTATGTTTCTATTTTTATTAGGCTTTCTTTCACTTTTACTTGAACAAGTGTGTATAAGCCACATAGGTATTTAAGGAGCTACAACTGGAATCTTTTGTTTCAGCATTGCCTACCTTGTTTATATAATATACCTTTGGTGTTACCACCAACAAGTGTAAGAACTCATGCATAAGTAAGTTCTTGCGGTGGTATTGCATCATTGAGAAACCTATTTTCATGATTAACTTTATGTTTTGTTCAGGGTGGAATGTGCAATGCATACATTCCAGAGATTGATCGAACTATCAGTGTTGCAGGAGGAAATTTGGAACCAGTTGTCCCTGGGAAAAATGATAAGGTGGGTTAGGTGCGATGATATCATGACCTGCAGAAATCGAATGTTCAAATTCTTTCATAAGAATCATATTCAATAGTTTATACTATGGATTCTAGTAATGATTTAAAATCGTTTTGTTTTGAAACTTATCATTTTGCGCTGCAAAAGTTTTTCATTATGTCTGAAAAGCCCTTCATTTTATTTCTGAAGAATCTAAAAACAATGAAATACCTGTTTATTTCAACTCTATTGCATTTTAAATTCAATCCATTGAGTAATATGAGTATATATTGACTTCAAGGTGTCGTTTGTTAACATGACCTACCCATTCACTAATGCCTGGTTGAAAGATATTTTATAATATTTTGTGATTTGTACTAGAACTTTCTTATTATTTCAGATGCACTTTAATATATAGTTACTAACAAACCATTTCATTTACAGGTTAAAGTTATTCTGGGAGAAGACAGAGAAATGACTGGAGAGTTGATAAGTATTGATGACAAGGATGGAATTGTACGGATGGATGTTGACAAACAGTTGAAGATTCTTCAACTTCGTTTTCTTGGCAAAATCGCCACGACAAAGGAAGGTGGCGGAAAAGGAGACGACGTGGATTCAGACGATGATGATGAAGACTGAGGATAACTAATGACAAAAAAAATACTTTGTCAAAGAGAGATCAGCTTATCAGGTTGCTGGAAGCAAATGCGAACATTGGACATCATTCCTTAATATATGATTAACTTGGTTTATTCAAAATTATTTCTGAGCTACGTTTGACAACTGTTGCGTTGTTGCATGTCCAATTACTTAATATTGGAACCAATTTGATTAGATACAAATACTTGTTTGTTGAAAGTGTGGTGTCTGGGAGATGTTCCCCATTTTGGACACGGTCTGAATTTGGAGCTTTGCAGCAGACATAACTCTTGGCATTACAGCAGGTGTTGCGAAAGCCTCTTGTACATTGCTTTGTTTAGGTTTGTTATGTCAATAAAAGTAAATCTTGGAACTTGTGTAATACCTATCGCTGATTAGTTTGTTAGATATATTCTGAATACAGTTAAGAATTCAGCAGGTATATGGAGTGATTTGTGAAGGGCTATTACTCACACAAAAGAGCAGACGTGTGATTTTCATTGAATTGTATTGCCCAAAAACCAGGCTCCAGACAAGTAACAGAATACTGTGCGACTAGTGGCGTGTATCAATTGTGCACTCGGAACGTCTCTTCTTGGTAAGATGTAATGCGGGCTTAATTAACACTCGCCTAATGAGTGCTGTAAGCTTATTTTGATACACTTTATACAACTCGCAGATCCGTTCCCTGGCCAGCGTAAGTTTTTTTCTGAATAATATTCCAAGCTCTGGATAACTTGATGTTGAAAATTGCCTACTATCAACCTAGAACTATGGAACCCATTTTCCATTTTATGTAATACCAGAAATCTACATATATGTCGGTATTAATAACATATTTAAAAATCAACCGCCCGGTGTAAATTATAGATTTCAATACGTCGAGGAATAAATCGGAGTTCTAAACTTATCGCGCTGTAATCCCCGATACCATAGTACCCGTTCATTCATACGGTACCTGAGTAACATGTCCCTATTCGACGGTAACCGGATAAGAGGCTGTGGATCGACTTGTGATTAAGTCGTTTTATGGACTTTCCTCTCCCCGTGACAAATAAAAAAAAGTCATTTTCGAGTCCAAGTGTCATTTGGTGACTGACTTAGACTCTGTAGGGCCGCTAGATCGGATATTAAAGTTTGACTCTATATGAGTGGATGTCAGTTTTGTGTTAGGTTTACCGCGTCCTTGAAAAGAGTTCTGAGGAGGTCCGAGTGGTTCGCTATGTCGATTTCAGACGAATCTCAGCCACCGAACAAGAAGATGAACATTGAGAACGGGGACGGTAAAACGCAACAGCCCAAAATCGGTACACACAATGGATCCTTTCACTGTGATGAAGTCTTGGCATGTTTCATGTTGAAACAGCTTCCCAAATATAAGGTGAGCGATGCGACAACAAATCGATTGCTGCTTACGGGCGAGTTATGTGAAAACTAACATAGATCAGTCTATCGATCAGTTTTTGTAGCTTTAAATATTTCCTTGATAAAATACGTTAACTAGGTACACTCTGCTTGGGCTTTAAGCCAGGGAATATTGTAACATGCAATATTAGAAAATGAAAATTTCGTGTTTTTTGCTTTCATTCATGTATTATCACGCAATTAAGCTCAATTAAAAAGACAGAGAATATAGGCTATATCTTTTACATTCTGACATTATATAGTTCCAGTCACAAGGTGAGATTGTCTATGTCAATATGTTGTACTTTTACATGTTTAAACCCACCGTAATTTGTAGTTTTTGCAACTTCAATGAATATCTGTTCGATGGGGTTATCATTTTTTGTACTATGACGAAAAGAAATTATCTTATTCATCGTATCTGATTCTGATCAATGCCTCAATCATTATCACCCCATTATTGCCTGAATTGTACTCAAGTTCAGAAGTTAGCAGACCCCATATTCTGAATCAGAAATTTGTTAATCTTTAAATAACTTTTAAGAATGCTCGCATTGTTCGATCACGAGATCCTGCTGTACTGGATGAATGTGATATTGTTGTTGATGTCGGTGGAATATTCGATCCAGCAAAAAATAGATTTGATCACCATCAAAGGTATTTCATGCACCTATATGTAGCAAGATGAAAGTTTGATAAACGTCATGTCAGTACATGGCTCTTTAGAGTTGAGCTCCTGGCATGTTTTCATTGATATTGAAGCATGAGTTGTATTTTCAAACTTCCTAAAACCAGATTTAAACTTTTTTCGGAGACATAAGTTGGGCTAATAATGATTATAATTTGAGTCAGAATTTCTGAAAGAATATCAAAAAGCATTTAGTTGACTAATCATTTTCATTAGACAATTACAGAATTAATGAATGTTTACACAAACCAATGTTTTCTTCTTTATCAAAGTTCAGAGCTGGAGCCTAGATAAAAATTTTATTCAATGTTAAGTCTGGTTTTGATATTAATTCTACACATTGCGAAATTGGAATGATTGCAATTGCATCATTTCTTATATATTGGACACTATATTACCTCACTGTTCTTCATTTTCACAGGACATTTGATGAAACCATGAACTCATTGAATTCCAAAATGAAATGGACAACCAAACTGAGCAGTGCTGGTCTTGTTTATTTTCATTTTGGTCGAGAGGTTCTATCACATATTATTTTGCCGCAGACTATTGATGATGACACAATGGATGTTATTTATAATAAGGTATATATTTATATACTTAAACAGCCTTGAACAAATGTATCTTACCCCTAGCAGTAAACCCCAGAGTCGTATTGGATTTCATAAACAACTGTGAAATAACACAATGATCAATGTGTTAAATGGTATTTCGCTGAATTTTGTTTATTTGCTATTTTAAAGACTCCCTCAAAATTATATTTGAACTACAGCTACAGTATCTCTTTACTTAGAATCCTGAGTTTGTTTATGTGACCAGAATTCCTAGAAAAGTTTGCTTGAGTATAGTCTATGACAGAGTGGTCAAAGGTTGTGGGCTCCGCGGGCCACAAAATTATTTTGGCAATGGTCGGGGGCCACAATAGTATCAAGAATAGGTAAACAGTGCAATACAAAACAAGCACTTCTATTGTGTAAACACATAGTTATCAGGCATTGCCAACCTAGGCTAATGGAATCCGTATCCGATGTTTAGTTTTCTATCATGCCCATATTGTTAGCATATATTCCCGATCAAAACGATAGAAATCCAGGTAACAATTTAGACTGCCCATCACATCTTCAACCTCGCTAGTTGCTTCAGTTAGTCATCATACTAGTCAATTCAGTCACAGTAGTGATATAACAACAATATGTCAAACGATTTTTCTGATTTATTTTATAAGAAGCAATTTAAAATATCATATTTTGATTACTCTTCGAATGCGGCGCGGGCCACAGATAATGGAGTGGCGGGCCACATGATCTTCAATACTGATTTCTAGCACAGACACCTGTGGGATTGCTTTTATTAACCCTCAGTAAGGCACAATTTACTGAATAGTGAAATAGCTAAACTGTTTTTTTTTTCAGATGTATGATAATTTTGTTGAAGAGATAGATGCCGTTGATAATGGTGTTGATCAATATGATGGCGAACCAAGATACAGAGTCACCTCAACTATAGGAGCTAGAGTTGGAAGAACAAATCCAAGTTGGAATGAAAAGAATTGTGATGAGCAGGTATAAGATTGATGTTAGAAGACTCAATAATTTGTTAATTTAAAGCAATTTGTTGATTGAATAGGATATTTTATCATACATGCACCAACTGTTGTAATATTTTAAATTGTTCAACAAAAATTTTTGATGGTTTTGATAGATAGACAAACAAGTTCCTGTTGAAATTAACATTCATTCAGCCTGTTAGATACATGACTGTCATTTGGTCTTATTTTGAAGTTTGTATATGTTATTGTTTTTAATACACGTACAATATTTACATGTGATCTCATTCCTTTTTTATTTTAATCATGATCGGATGAATCAACCTTTTATTTCCCCAGGCACTATTTATGAAAGCAATGGAAATGGTTGGAACTGAATTTAAACAAAGAATACTTGGTTTTATCAACAGTTGGCTGCCAGCACGTTCATTGGTAGAGGATGCAATAAAACAAAGATTTGAGGTTGGTTTTCTGTTGATATGTTCCTTATTACTTATCGATTTCAATCGGTAAGTATGTTGATAGGTATTTGTGTCTGTCTGTTAGATGCACGCGATATCTCACGAAAGCGAGATTGAATCTGCTCCAGATTTTGCATGTGCATTCATCATATCTCAGACCAGAAGCCTTTTGATTTTGGGCGAATTATGTCGTATAATTAGCGAGTTCTTAATTAATTAGTGATGAGACACAAGTTGTCACTATGGAGTAAGAGCGCTGTTTTGGGGGATCCCCTAACTTTCGATCGATAAGTCTTTGGTCGCTGACCGATATTCTCTTTCAACTGTTGTCAGATAATCAAACTAACTCTTTCAATCTGTTTAATTCGTTTCGATTGAGCAGGATCTCTTGTTTTATCATACACAAAGGAGTAATAATTAGCATTTAGCAATCTGCTAAACATAATCATATATAATGCTAGGTGCATAAATCTGGAGAAATCATTGAACTGAAACATTTTTGTCCATGGAAAGATCATCTGTTCACACTTGAAGAAGAACAAACAATAGAACCTGCTATCAAATATGTCATCTATGCTGATGCTGCTGGAAAAGCCAGAGTGCAGTGTGTTCCTGCTGGCAAAAATACTTTTGAGAACAGGTGCATAATATATTCTTTCTCCCACAGCTTGAATGTTTTCCTCATGGTTTTAAGTATTCTGTTTTACAAGATGACACTAAAACCACAAGCCAGGTATTTTCAAACATATTCTAGGGAGAACATAGCTTATGTGCAAAGTGTCATAGATTAGAGAAATTTTTGTGTACAATCATACACAAACAAGGTTATGTGTTGAATATATTATCTTCATTATCGTAAAAGTAAAGAGATCTTGGACTGTTTCATTTGGGTCACTATTTATGACAAACCTTATGAAATTTCAACTGAATGAATCTCCAGCTGTCGACTTTCAGTTTATAAAATTCCAACTATCAACTACTTTGTCATATTCTATTTCAGTTGAAAATTTTGACTGTGTAACCTAAAATTCATATCTGTGAGTGACTGTGACCATGGTGAAGTTACAAAATTTGTGCACAACCTCTACAAGCGAGGTTCATATATCACAGTCTTGTTTAGAAGAACCTGTGTGATAATTAGTTTATCAAGTATTTCACTGAACACCATACATTTAATAACATGGCTAAACTATTACTTTTCAGGTTGTCATTACTATCTCAGTGGAAGGGATTGAGAGATGAGGAATTATCAAAAACATGTGGAATACCAGATTGTATTTTTGTCCATGCAAGTGGATTTATTGGCGGAAATAAAACCAAAGAAGGTGCACTTGCTATGGCTGTCAAATCTTTACAAGCGCAAGGGTGTGGTTGAAATTGTTCCAGAATAATTCTACTGATAATAATGTAGAAATGACGATTCAAGGCGGGAAAGCTGAGTCTTCTTCCGTAAGCAAAGCAGCGAATACCATACTTGCAATTTTTATTGTCATCTCAAATCATTTACCTGCTGTTTCATCTAGAAAACATTGTTATGAGCGTTTCATAAGTGTTGAATAAATAAACAAGCCTTGCAAATTTAGCGAATTTTCTACAAAGCCAAATTGATCAGTTGGTATTTTCTACACTTAAGATTTGGCTGAAAAAGTTTTGTTCATAGCTTTTTCTGGCAACATTATGTAACTGTCTGGAGGAGAGGGCCGATGCGAGAATTGCATACATATTTGGGTGACCTAAGTAAATATATGTAATCTTGTTGGTTTTTTGAAGAACTAAACAACATACATAATGACTATACCCTAAGACAGGGTGGTCCAAACCCAGGCTCGGGCGTCAATATAATAACTGAATATTAATGACATGAGAATATAATTCGTTCCGGTGATGTTTTGCAACCAGCCTAAACAGTATTACACAAAATGCTTCTATTATGTCAGAAAAATAATAATTATCTTCCTGTACCTTACATTTGGTAAAATATGATAATCATTCAGCAGTTATGGCAAATATAATCTAAAATGGCATTTTGCTTTGAGAACCCCCATTGATGTTAAAAAGATAAAAGTGTTTGTTGTTTACATATTTCTGACTCTATTGTGGCCCGCGAACAATACAAAAATAATTCTGTGGCCCGGGAAAGCGACAACCTTGGACCACCCTGCCCTAAGAAGTATGATCCCGCATCGGCATAACAACGGCCGAATGACGATCCCGAAGATCAGCGGAGTACGCCAGCCCTGCCTCTTGCTAACCTTCCTCCAATGAAATGGGTTTTTGTCTTATAAGTCTGTTGTTAAGTTTCTACTGGATACATCTCGCCAAACAAGGCAGGTTTTGTACAAATTCCAATCGACGAAATTTATTTTGAGCGTTGCATTTTAGGAGTCCTGTTCCTGGCAGGTATCCTTCAGCGTTTAAATAATGTAATGTCAATATTACTCTGTGCAAAGATGTCCAATAGGCTACCTAAAGTACAGCTAGTATGCGTGACAGTTCTATAACATAATGTGCGCTGGCAACAGTTTTCTGTGCAAATATGTTAAATAAAAAAAATAGAAATTCTCCCATCGTGCAATGATCGTTTACGTCAAAAGATTTTCTAATATTTGTTCGCGTTGTTCTCTTTCCCGTCTTGACTTTCTTTCTTCTTCGCTCTTTCTTATTCCATAGAAAAAATAAATGGAGAAACCTGAAAATTTAATGAAAGGGGTTTTACGGTTACGTGTGGTAGGCATCGTCCCAGATTCCGCAGCGTCTAAGTTGTCTATTACATCCACGGAGTAAAGTCGTTGACTCCGATAAACTCGCATCGGGCGTTCTAAAGTGATTGCCTGTAAACTACCACTAAATATCACAATGCTCATAAATACCTTCTTGTCAAATGGATGCTTATGCGTAATGTTAGCATTCTTTCTTATTTACTACGCCACTCGAATCGTGACATAATAAATAACCCCGCTGTTGAATTTGAAATTTAGGGTTATCTACATACCCAAACAAAACGGTTACTTGACAACTCTCGACTCGTTTCATTAAATGTATATACGGTAGTTAAAATTTTCATATTCAGCCGAATTTATTGAAAAAAAAAATATCCTCTAAAGTTTCCACGTTCTGTAGCATCTGGTTTATGGCATGTTTCACATTTTAGCTCAGAATAAGTCCCCAGATAAGCAGTCACTTTCAGGTAGGTGTTATTATAAGTTAAATCTTGTCTATTTTAGTGAAATGGAGAACTTGTCAGAAATAGCAGAAGCGAGTGGAATTAGTTTATTTTTACATGCATAGGCAGGCAGTAACATCAAATTGAACGAAAGAACGGACATGCAAATATTGACAATACGAACAAATGATTGTTAGCAAGTAGATGGTGCAAATTAATTACAATCACAAAACAACATGTGTTGTACAGAATGATTATTAATTAGCGACTAATCAAGTTAATAATTGCAAAATAAGAACTACAGATTTGGCAGTTTGTGTTGGTTGGTACAGCGATACGGAACAGAAATATACACAGTCAAGTTAGGCTGGGTTTAAATACAACTTGGGAACACAAACCATAGTGAATAATGAAGAAACACCTACAGAACGCAATGCACCCGCAAAAAATAAAGAAATCACCACAGCTTATTCGGAAAATTATTTTCTTGGTCAGAATAATATAAATGGGAATGCAATAGCTATGCCTGCGGAGCGTTTGGCATTACTGAAATTAAGTTTTCCGAATAAGCATAACTTATACAATAATATGTACAACGCCAGAAATTCATCATCGATTACTAAGTTTACAAAAAAATTATTTATTTTGAGGACTAGATGTTCCATTTGCCTAAAACTTGTAATTCGATAATATATTTCTGTGCAAAACAGACAAAATTTTTAAAATAAAATCTTAAATAAGTTGAATTTAAATGCTAATGTTGGGGATTATTGTAACATAACGTTTTTCTCGTTAGTTCCAACAGCGTACGATTCCCTTCTTATTCTCTGTGAACTTTTACGAATTCCGTATCCGAAATAGATCGCAAAACCTTTGTATTCACAACAAATCGATATAGAAATTGTACGATTAACATCACAGAAAAAGTGCCGCATAAAAAAGATTATAATCATCAGTAATACAGCCATGCAAGTGAGATTAGTGGAAAATTGATGCAAATGTGATCCAAGAATTCCATTAATGTAAGTGAAGATGACATGCATGAAGGATGAATCGGCAACACGAAGATGATAATGAAAGAAAATAAATAAGTTAGTTTATGACGGTAGCAGAATATAACTGAACAGTGGACAGTGCTGTGGATTCGAAGATTGAAATGTTTTCATTTCACCGAGCCGGTGTCGTGTTATCAAACTCGCCGGAGTTGAAGTTCACAATTCGTCATAGTCAGAATTGTAAACTTTTAACGGCGAGAAAGGACGTCAAACTATTTTACAGAAATTCAAAATGCATTATACTGGGCGTTTCCAACACACTATTAAATAAGGCTTACATACGCCAAAGTTCATGCTATTAAATTTTGATTTCTCCGAGTTTGGAGCTGAAGTAGGACTCGAATTTTTTTCTAACTTGGAGCCGGTAGTCAGAGGCAAAATTTTTTTAACGCGGTGTTGGAGTCGATAGAAAATTTTACCCGAATCCACAGACCTGCAATAGAACCAATCCCCTTCAGACTGCAAGGTTGATTTTTGGGAAGCTACTTAAGGTATTTACGGCCAGTCAAACGCAGTGTTTTATGTTGATTTTTTTTAATAATGCTCTTTGATATACTAAACTAAATGATAAATGTGCTATTCGTTATAGAAATCTTGATTACAATAGTGTTAAAAGAAATAAACATGTAGCAAACGGCAATACTTCATTGAGGTACGTTACTACGAATAATGATGCAACAGGCAATCAGACGGTTATTGTATATTTATTGGTTGTTAGGGTGATAACACAGCGTTGCCACAATTTAATAACACAGCGAACAACTTACCAATAGCCATCCAAACTGCAAATCGAATCCACGTCTCAACGCTCAACTCACACATAAGATAAATGTTGCAAATCGATGATAAAACTGGCAACAGTGGAACAAATGGCACCTTGAATGAACGTATAATAATTTATACAAACTGACCAAAATTGTAAAATGAAATAATACACAAATTGGCAACATTTCCAGAAAAGTTTTGTAATCGCAAAAATCGTAGTGGACAATATGACCATTTGAATGGCTTGGCTAGTTTATTGGGAAGATCGTTCTGCCAAATTATCGCTGTTCCTGTTGTCGTTGTTTGGAAAAGTCGCTTTTCTTCACATCTAATGGCCCTAACCGATTTCAAATTTTTGGTATAAAACTTTATACGACATTCGGTACATTTATTTTAACATTTGGCTGATTCAATGATGAAATTTAATGATGGTATGGTAGATATTCGACCTTCGTGTCCATATATTTGAACATTGCTTCTTTCTTATGCATACTTCAACAAACATCGTCACCAAATCAAAATTGACGAAATAGTACTTACAGTGAATGATAATTTCTCTTGAGATTGAGGCTGACGCAGAATGATGATTACTAATATGATAATAAAACATCCGAGTATTGGACAGACGACAACGGTAGCAAGGTACGGTAATGAATTGATGTTCACAAGCATAGCACATAAAATGAATGCGAAAAAACCTGTAAAATGATAGTATGTTACTGATAAAATGCGTGATTCAAGGTGAATTTATCAGTAAATATAACGGTATGACTCAAATCAAACAAGACAGGGGTAGCGAGCAGGGTGTTCAACAGGGGTAAATTTATCCCTTGAGGAAAGAACTGACCACCTTGCACCCACTTTGGAGAGACTGTCTAGCATATGGCATTTTTCATTATTTACTGACAGTACACTGAAATACACTGAAATTTAAAAAGGGGTAAACGATAGAATAAAGGTTGAGATCCCCTTTAGTAGAATCATGATTTACGAAAAATGTACGTCACAGCGACCTCCCATACTTCATTTTTCAAACAAACTAGATCATTGTGATTATGAAATGGTGCACGTAATTTTTCCAGTAATTTCTAAAAGTATACTAGCAACAAGAATGGGTCTCCTTCCTAATATGAACTAACGATTGAATCTATGTTTACTAGTCAAAAAACTGCATGATGCAATCACAAATTATCTTCATTTTGACAATTACAAATCACATAGGTAACTAAGTTGATATCTTTGGTTTTCTTCCAAGTCATACTTGCTTCAAGTACTCTTCAAATGATGAATGAATCATAAACTGGAGTGATACGTCTGTGATATGTTTTGATAAGACATGCACAGTTACTTGTCTACTGGCTTTGTTCATAAGTTTGTTATTTTTTGTTTCGTAAAATCACTATTATACCAAACCCGATGCCAGTCAATGGAACATTAGCCAGATTGCCTTTTTGAATAAGACAATGGAAGGAATAACAAAAAACTAGAATTTTTCATTTTCGTGGATATGGGCGATACGAAATTATATCAGCTAGAATAAAATTAGATAAAGTATATGTTGATTGAAATGCGGTTTGAAAAATTTGAATGAGAAGTATTTATTCACTAAAAAATGATGGAAATTTGCAAATTCTACCAACTTTTACCATATTAATTTTTGGTCAACTAAAAGGTACAACTCCAATATAATTTAAAAGTTTTGGTGCATGTTCATCGAAAAAAAAAAGAATCTCATTCCACATAATACAAGTTTCACCAAGCTCATATCGTGTGAAATAACATTCATCTCATTTTGTTGCTCTAAATTCTTTACTCTATCTTTGTGTCAGAGGTCACAATGGAGCAGTACAAGAAACGTTTAACCAAGGGTAGGCAGGTCGTAACACGTCTCTTAATTCTACATCATAATATACTTCATACCTATGATCATGGTTGCAATATAAACCAATTTTCCTGATGTGTCTGTCGGTTCATTTGAAGGTTGCTTAATATTTGAAAGAAGTGAAGTATTACTGGCCTCGGCCATTGGAAATCCTTTTTCGCGTCTTTCAACCATTTCTACACTCATAGATGGCTGGTACCTGATTGTATACAAAAAGCGATAAATTTCAATCATCGAAAAGGACCAGTAATGTGGAATTGTTATGAAGCGTTGGTGCTATTGTTTCAAAAAATTTGCTTATAGCAAGATCAGAGGCTCACATGAGCAAAGTTATAACGACCACTAAATTGCGAAGAGATACCGAAACAATATATAATCAAGATAATGAACTACGCTCCAGAAAATCCTCCACTTGAAGCAGTTCGTGTCTATATTATCAGGAAAGTTGTTATGAGGTAGTGAATTCCATATAACTAAAGTTTGTGTGAAAACGGGTGACACGAAACTGCTCTGGCTCGCTATTGGGACTTGGGAGCATACTGGAAGTGACAGCTCACAGTCAAGCGAGTGCGGCGACTGAAAACTATTCTGGGGGGACAAGTTCCAAATAAGTTCAGAATGATACAGCCCGTTATATTATAATCTGGGTGAAATAAACACGAGGCAGGAAAAGATTTACAGTTCGTATTACATTTACAAGTCAATCACATTCGATTTACTTTATTTGGTCAAGTGGACTTGGCACAGTTATATCAAACCATTCGTATAACTTAATAGGTAGGACGAGCGAAGAGCCATAGTATGTGTACTAGAGCTTGGGCCAATAATCTCAATACAACGATCATTTTCTACCACTTATTCCTATTATGCACAAAACATAGTTGGCCAATTATGATTAACATCAGGTTAAGCACTTAAATTCCACCATGATCATTTTACATTACGAGTGGCTCAAATGTCGAAAGTAATTATCATGGAAATTAAATTCCATAATCTGTAAGTAACCTTTTAAATTATATATCAGGTTAAAACGGTTGTGTGTTTATCCTATTGTTAATTTATCAAATATTGCTTTACAAATGTTGTAACTTCAAATATTGGAATAAAAGCGATGTTAGAGCATGAATTATAAGTTGAAGAATATATATTGTCGACTACAGTGGCGTCATTTCTGTAAACTGCCTGTCTGAGGAAGCCTGTGATGAAATACCATTGAAACTTTAATAAAGTACATACAAAAACAAACTGACCTTAAAATTAAAACACAAACAGCAACCAATGTATAGGCAAGTAAGGTTCCAATAGACATCATGTCAACTAAATCCTCCAAATCAAATATCAGAACCATAATAGCTATAAAAAAAATAAGATATGATATAAAAATATAGATTACTGTAGCTCTATGAACTATTGGTACCTAATATTAATATAAGGATATAATAAAAGTATATTTAATAATTAGGTATTTGAAACAAATTATTTATAGTACGGCAAAAATGCAAATATCATGCGTCATATTTCTCTGAAAATAGGAGTACGGCAAATGACGTTACAGATGGAACATTTCTGGAAATTGGAAAATGTTGACAAATAGTATGGTAGATCGAGATCGAGAAACAGCTAGCAGGACTCCAAACATACAATAAAATTAATAAAAAATATCACATAAAGCCAAGAATGGTCATCAATGTGCCATGCTTGTCAAGTATAATCCAAGTACCTGCAAGTAATCCAGATATAGCAGTAGCTATCACAGGTGTTTTAAATCTTCTGTTAATGCGAGCCAGAAATTTGAAAATTAAACCATCTTGCGCCATAGCATAAACAACACGAGGTAACGGGAATAAACCACCAAGTAAACTGAAATAAATTACATAAAATAATGAATTTTCACGTAAAAAATAATATAAATAATGTAGAAAAGCAAGCAGGCCACGCATGTTATATATGTATATATTATGTTATATATGTCCATGCGTGTTATATATGTATTTTCATTGCAGATTTTTTATGTTTAATAATTATATATATATTGTAGGGCAAATGATTAAAGTGGACAAGGTTGGAAAGTTAAGAGTATTCATATGAAGTGAGATTCATACAGTTAGGACGAGTGGAAAGCGACATTTTTAAGACACACAACAAACCCTACAAAGAATTACAAATATTGTTTTTCAAGTAGAAATTGTTACTTTTACCTTGCAGAAAGTGCGCAAGTAGCACCAATAGCGAGAGGATATACGGCCCAGTTCCATCCAAGATGAGCAAAAGCTTGTGGTAGAGGAGCTCCCACATCCAACATATAGTAAGGCACAACTAATGTCAACACGGAGGAGACACCGAAGTAAGCGAAAAACACAATTAACAGTGAGATGACGATAGACATAGGAATGGCACGTTGCGGATTTTGAACCTCCTCTCCTGATAATGAATATATGTTAGTTGGATTATATATGCGACACAAGTTTTTCTTAAAAGATCGTCGGACAAGCAATACGGAAGCGGCTGAGCAATGAGGCATGAGTGTTCCCCTTAAATTTAAATAAATCCGCAACATTTTTGGTGAAATATTGTGGAGAAAAATGGGAGAAAAAAAAGTAATAACTGTATCGCGACTTTTTCTATATATAAGTATTGTAATCGATCGGTTCATTTGTCGTTGAGATAAGAGATTTTCCCCACTAACAACAATAAACCCCAACAACGAGAATAATACCATCAATTTATAGAAACGAATTATAGATCTGCATCGTGTTCAATATTAAATACAATAAAAGAAAATCAAATATTGGATTTTAAACAAATATTTTAGCCATAACTGAAACGTACAGAATACTTTTATAGCCTAAATGTCAAATGTTGACGTCTATAGTGGTAAAAAAGACTTACTACTGTATAATTATTTCAATGATGAAAAGGCGCCAGACAAATCTATTTTTTGTCCTACTCTGGAGCATCTTGGAACGATTTTAATTTTTCAGTATTCTAATATATTAAAAAAAGAGCACACCTGTCGTGGCGATGACGTCAAATCCGACGAATCCGAAAAAGCATGTTGCAGCACCAGACATTACACCAGAGAATCCATATGGAAAATAACCGCCTGTTCCAAATCTATCAACTACGTTGTATTTTCCTTCTTCATTCAATGTGCAATTTAGATCTAAAAAATATTTACATTTGTTGCAAAATTTTGAATTTTTCCCTGTAGTTTCTTTCTTGAATTTATATATAGATACCTCGCAGGTTATATTACTGCCCATATTACATCATATTTTAATTTTATTTTTACTTTAGTTTGGAACACGAGATATTGAGAAAAATAGCACTAGCTTACAAAATCAATCATAATTTATGATCGATGTGGGCTTCTGCATTTTATTATCAATTATAAAGAGTTGGGTATACCAGCTCCCACAACAATTATGCATTGAAAAATCGCATAAAAATGTCATGTCATTATAATATGTCATATTATTTTCGCCGATAGCGTTGTCGACTATTTTTTAGTTATAATCGATGTGAATTATCGTACCATTCTTGGATCCTATTGTTTCATCCACTTTTTCAATTTTAACAGCAAAATTGGTGCCAGGTTCGATTGCAAGTGAGTTGTTTAGCAATACACTTATATTATTTGAAGTATTGTTCGCAGTTCCACATTCTTGCACAAAACTGAAAACAAATTATTAAAAGATTCATTTACTATAGTACGATACATAAATATTTATCCGAGATACCAATGTTAATAATGATAAATAAACAAGAATAAATATGCGCACTCCTAAAATAATTGGAATTCTATCCTCACGAAAATCAATTTTGAAAGCGATAATAGAGAAATATGGAGACAAAGAATTATAAATGCAATTTTGGATTGCTGAATGTATATATTAAACAAATCAATTTCGTGCAATCGTTTTTAAATATCTGATGAGTTTAAATATGCAAAACAAATACAGATAAACAGCAAAGCATATGATGTTTAGAATTTTAAAAGGCTTTTAAATGAATTTCCGATGCCTAAGAGTTTTGGGCCTCGTTCGGAGGGCGAGTCGTGAAACAATCTTAATCTAACAATCTCATCTTAGAAAAAATATACTTACTAGTCGGTGATATTGTCTTCAGTCAAATACCAGTAGTTGATATTAGATTTAATTCCGCCAGCGACAATAACAAACAGAATTACCACTATATTGACACCGGTGAATATTTTACTGAATGTTGCAGATTCTTTTACTCCACAACAGAGGATAACTGAAACGAGATTAAAGTATTTAAGAATGTAACCGCCCGCATGACCATATATATTGTGTCGTCTATATATACGTGGCAAAAATAGGACATGGGCGGGTATATTAGTAATGAATTTAAACCCATATACGCTTACCAGTTAGTATTATGATGACGACAAAAGCAAAGAAATCTGGATACTTTGCTACGCCAGGTATATCAATCCTCAGATAAGTCATACTGAACTGCTCAAATCTTCCTCCGATTAAAGCATCGAAATTCTCACTCCAGGCCCGGGCGACACTCGAAGTACCTATTACACAAAGATAAATGAGTATAATTAAATGAATTTCTTCAACAAAGTTACATCCAAAATTTTCCCGTTTCAATAGTATTATAGTATTGACGCCGCAATACACTTAAGACTTTATTGTTAGTTTGAAATCCTGGCGTATGTAAAAATTACCAAAGAAGAACACTTCACACACTGCGAAAGTTTAATAATTATCACCTCTGATAGGCATAAATACCAGTTACGTTTAAATTTTTAGGTGAAAATAGACCACAAATACTAGCATATTGAATAATTCAGAATTTCAGATTTGGACTTGGACGAAGATATATACTACAGGAATAAACAAGATTATATCTTGATAGGCCGCCACACTTCTTCGTGTGTGTTCGGTTGTACAAAACCGTTTCCCTATGGATATGAAGATTTAATGATTTATAAAATATATGATCAAAATGACATTATTGTTTTAAATTAAATATATCGTTTTAAACGAGGCTTAATGTAGGTATCAAAAAGTGTTAAACCTACCAATTACATACTCCAGAATAAGATTCCATCCGATGATAAATGCCCAGAACTCTCCAACTGTGACGTAACTGTACACGTATGCTGAGCCGGCTTTAGGTACGCGGGCTCCAAATTCAGCGTAACATAAACCTGGATAATTATACATAATAGCATATTGATTCGTCAAATATTCTCGAGCAGCAAATCTAGCTCTGACGAAACAAGCAAATTTTTGTTGTTTTACTACTTTTGATCTTTGGTCTTGGCATGTCATGACAACGAAATCATGAACAACTCAAGATACTAACTGGGTAAGCGAAAAATTTCGATAAATTTTCTTTTGTTGAGATATATTTATTCTTCCGTTCATTAGTCCTAGTTATAATAGTCCCGCTTACCTGCCATAACACTTGCTACAGCTGCAACGAAAAATGATACAACTACCGCAGGTCCAGTTTTATCTCTCGCGACAGATCCAGTTAAAACGTAGACTCCAGCCCCTGAAATTTGAAAGTTTCCAAAGTTACATTTGTGAACAATTTTAAGGTATAATCGATCATCACAACGAAGTAAAATACATACCTAGTGTACTCCCGACCCCCAGCGCAATTAAGTCAATGGTCGTGAGGCATCTCTTTAGCGTAGTTCCATGAGAGGTATCGGACTCTGCTGCTTCTCTATAAGGTTTCTTACGAATAAGTTTGTTAAGAAATTTTGCCATTGCCATGCTGTTTTACTTATTTTTTTTGTATTTACTGCTATAAAAAAAAACAAAAAAGAGTTATACCACTGCATTTCAAGACCAAATAATCGCGAACGATTTAACAATTTAAAAGCCTTGAAAGATGACAATTAATTATTGAGTTTACATTAGTCCGCGGAGTCGATGCTCTGCTTCGTCTCTTGCCATAACGCCTAGCAAAACAAAACGCAAACTGAATTTTACGATCTTTTTTCTTCTTTGTCAAATGTGACCAAATATGTTTTGCTAAGAAAACTATTTCTCTGTCCACAGGAACTACACAATGCCTCCGACAATTTAAGTTAAAATAGGCGGGTTCTGTTCGGATGCTGCTACTTTTATAAAACACAGGAAGAGCATAGTTATCTGTCTTAGAGTTCTTTTAATATTAACTCATTTTAATCGATGGAATCTTCATAACCTAATCAGTTTAATTTTTGGGCACTCATGCCTAAGATTAGTTCGGATCTGCGCGTTACTGGCACTGTGAGTTAATCCCTTGGTTGTTGAATTAAATATTACGAGGTAAACTCGACGTGTTTTTACAACATAAGCGTCCTAGATGCACAGTAAAAACAAGAAACTACACTTCAATGCCAATTAAAGCATGTTGAATGTACTAGTAACGTTAACTTAACCTACTAGCCTATATCCTAATGCCTTTATGCGACCTATCAGTTTACATTCTACGTAGGAAAATTTTACCATGCCGAGGTCTAAAAACAACAAGCGTCGTGGCTAAACCCTGCCAAGGCACAGCTTCTTTTCATATTGATTTTCCGCCTTGTGCTATATAGACTAATCTAAGCCAGTTGTCGTCCATGCTGACGGCCAACGATAACACGCTTACTGACGACTGTTCCGTAAGTGTCACTGCAATTGTGACGTTTAGCATTGGAAATAGATACACCAAGAATAAAAAACAGTACATTCAAAATACTCCTTATCGACTACGACTTCAACCATCCGGCATCCATGCGGCCCGATTCCAATAAACCACCAAACAAACGACTTCTTGAGCCATTAAACAAATTGCTACATGTAAAAGGAAGATTTTTTTTTGTGTTTTCAAAAGTAACGCTGAATTTATGCCGAGGAATTTGAATATTAGCTTTAGCCTAAGTATCTGTTGCTCTATGTCGATTACTGCCTTTACGTAGTTCCCGGTAACTTTCACTATTGATCAGATCCAGCATAATAGTCCTGTTTTGAACAATCTGGCACTTCGCATTTCTTATCTCATGTGGGTATATTACTGCATTACTGACCTAAATTTTCATATCTAATATGACAGTTTTCAATAGATCGAACTTGCATACACTCAACAACTACGGAATGATGTTCTTATTCCGAATTCGTGAAAATTATTTTCGGAACTGATGTCAAAACACGCGCGCGTCAAAGGTGAATGGAATTCTTTACAAATATGGGATGACGCAACAGACATTCATGAATGATTCATTCAAACTTAGCGCGTTAGAACGTACGGAAATATATAAATTGTCAGAAACGAGAAAATAACTTCGAAACCGTCAGACCAAAAAATATTATTGCCTGAGGCCCAGAAGCCATCTGTGCCGATTGGTATTTGTCCGCTTTCGCCGGCTCACGTTTAGGCTATTTTTCTTGGCCTTGCTGCCGGCAAATTTTAAAAACAGTGAACGGCAATAAACAGAGCCTTTGGGAACGTGATAGTTTTCACCATACTTCACAAACAGTACCAATATGATATACTGTAGGCACATTAAAATCAGGGTTCAAATCAGTTTCTTTAAATTAGGAGAAAACGAGTTTGGTAATAACAATTCATTTCATAACTGGTAGCTGTTGTGCGTCATTCAAATCGCAAACAGGTAGCCCGAAGAAAAACACATATTGTTTTGATCGGACAATCAGGATTAGATCTCCTACCGCGTTAGTACATCAACTTAATAATTCATCAATACCAATAATATATCAATTGTGTGCTGAAGAAGCCTGATTTTCTCTGTTCGTTGTTGGGAGTGAGAATCAGGCAAACGCGGAAAGAGTGTGCGATAGAGATCAAGCTAAGGACTGGACCGCTCCCACTTACTTGCCTTTATATTACACAACATGAAAATATTATAATATATATTGGCTATAATATTATCAATTGCAAGAAACAGTGGGAGGTTTCTCAAAAACTAGCTTATATTATTGGTGTGATGAGTGATGATGCAGGCTTGTGTGGTAACGGAAATTTCCCTCGTATTGCTTTACTAAATATATTTGACGTACAAAATATTGTGGCCGTATGGATCGTTTCTAAATCGTTGTTGGCCTTTTTTTTTTTGTTTTGGGTTGTTATTGGTGCAATTTTTTGGGCGAGGCAAAAATCGCCTCGATTTCAAATTTTCAGTATATATATACTTAAATAGTCACCCAACGCTATTTTCAATTCCACGAGATTTTATATTTCACCCAAAATGCCGCCGTTTTATTTCAATATATTGAAACACTTGTTCTATTCTGCCAAGCGTGACCATTCACGTCACAGTTGCTCAGTTTCGTTTTGCGAACTCGGAGCTTTTCCGTATTTTTAGTGAAGTCGGGTGGGCTGCCGATACTGCGTCAGTTATTGGATGGACTTTCGTGTTCATATATTTGAGGATTCTTTTTTTTTTGTAGATTTCATTTCAAAATCAGCAAGTTTGTGTAAAGAACATTTTTTCTCCGATTTCGAGGCATTCGAATATCCCATATATATATATATATATACGTTTTGAATTTCGAGAATAATTTCGATTCCTTACATCGACTCTGGTCTAAACGAATATATATATATAAGTAGAAGTGCAGGACGATAGAATCACCCGGATCCTCACAATTCTGAAAATCGACACCAGTTCTGGTTCTGATTTGACAACAATTTCAACTTCCGAATTGCGATTCCGTTTCGACTCAAATGCCAATAGTGTCTGTGTAGCCCAACTCAGTTCTCCAGTTCTGGATATCATTTTTAAGTCTTGTTTTGGCGACGAGTATAAAATAATCAGGGGGCGGGTCTGGGATATTATGACCCATTTAAGATCTTTTGGGTGAATGATAAAATTGGACATACAAACAGCATTATTAGAATCAATGATACCCTTAAAGTATGAATAGCGAATGAAGAAAGCGGAAAGGAATATAATCGATGTTCGCGGTAAGAATATGCAAATTAAGGTGCATTATATTCGCGCTTTCATATTGAGAATAAATTCACTAAAGATACATATATTCGCATTCTGACTGATAATACCTTGTGTGCCAATAGTTCTGGAGCATACTGAGGCATGTGTAAGGAGTTCATGTTTTATTAGTACCCATAAATTGTTATATATATATGTATTTATAGGATTTATTACCGGGGTTTAGTTAACTGACTAGGGTCAAACACGGTATCACTGATTTACTTACACAAACGCACAAAGTAGGTCGTCGTGTTGGCAAGGTTCATGCAGAACAATTATGTACCAGGGTAAAACCTCCACAATGAATTCAAGGAGGTTATGAATCTTAGAATTATTTGAAGTCTGAATCCAATAATCGACTTGATACTCGCAATCGAAAGTTGAACTTTTGAAGTGAAACCAAAAGATACTGAGGTCACATAGAGCAAACTGAATTTATTTGTTCAAATCCTGAGAGTCATTCCAATGACTTGCGTGCTTCTATATCTTCTTGAGTATTTGAGTACCTATCAGTCGATCAAGAATACCAACAATGTAACTAATGTTTGCATTCGATCTTTAGTCGATAATATTCAGCATTCTCTTATTGTTTACCTCTTTCGGTTGAGGCCAATATTTTTCATTCCATGCTAGAATAATGACTCGTGGCTAATCGGAATCACATGACTTCAGAGGATAGCACATTTACGGTTGAAAGAGATGTGCCATCATTTCTCATATTTTATGTTGCTCAGGAAAGAGGCGTTTTAATATGAGGTTGTCGGCAACCTAACTTCATTCTATGAAATTAACTTATTGGTGAATTCAAACAACTGAACGCCACCCAATTCTCATCAAAACGCCCGCGTCGTATTTGTCACATGTGCAAGCAAGGCCACAAGCGCACACTCAAGAGACAATGAGCGAAGTCATGCAGTGACCAATATAATGCCAATAGCTACAGAACAGCCTACAGATTTACGGTTGTGCATTACGCGTCAGAATATAGATATTGACGCGAGAGTCATATGATTCATTTCATGAGTTTATAAGGAAATAAAATAGCACGTAAGGAGCTTCATCGAGTGACTGCCGGTAGTGTTATGGCTTCATTTGCAATTAAAACTAAGCGTGGGAGTTGTTATAATTGTGCCACACAGACCTCGGCGAGAAATGTTTTAGATTACTCAATTTGTTGGCACAAATCAGCTTGTTTTGCTTGTGATAACTGATAAGTTATCCGTTTAACCATTGGAAGCCCGATGTTTCAGTTATAGTTGTGCGTGTTAAAATTTACTTCAGAATGGATGATGATTCAAACAATTGGAGTGGTTTAAATTTTAAAACACTTAGTTTAGATCAGTGTGTCACTCAATCAATGACTTGATATATCTAGATGAGACAGAACAAAATATATATCCTGTTTAATCAGAAGCAGTTCTTTCTTAAAAAAAATATTTTTAGTGCGCATGTTCTATTTTTTTTACCACTTTACTAACGACTGCAGAAGCGAATCATTTTCTCTACAATGTAGAGGCGCTTTCTGTGTGCATTGCGGTGTCATCTAATACTCTTTTTTCATATTGGTAAATAAATACTTCGACCCAGTTTTCTCGACGCCTTTAAATGGTTAATACTACTTTTTCTAAACGCAATGCACGATATTGTTAAAAAATTCTCATTTGGTGTCCATGCTCTTGGGTGCAAGTTTTGGTTCAAAGCATATATGTGCAGAGATGTCTTCATACTGCAAGTACCACTGAAGGTCGGTTCGTATCAGTTTATGTAACTCGAAAGTGGTGATAAACGACGAATGTTGAAAAACCTTTAGAGTTTACACCAGCTGGTTGATTTGTCAAAAAGTTTGATGATTTTTAAGACTTTTTTTCACATTATCAACAGCAAAGTCGCTGGCTGTTGCAGTCTAACTTGACAATTAGAATTAGACTGATCACAGAATCTATCTCATCGCAGAGCCTGTACCTCATGTAGCAATAATGACTACTGACTTAGACGAGAAAGTTGTGAAGGAAACAGATAAATACACGGACGACAAAGATGAAGGTCAGTGCATTACCATCTAGCCAAAAACAACACCAATATTCAGATTTTGAATTAACACTTTATGTGTCAATAATCACAATGACCGATATTTTTTTTATCTTATCTACCAGATTCCCCACCTCAGAAAAAAGAAAAGATAACAAATTTTGGAATAATTCATATTGAAAAAATATTTCAACGAATCGGTTTTTAGGAAATTTGTACCAGATGCACTTTGTTGCAAAGTGAAATTAAAATTCCACGTGTTTAAGATATTTTGAAATATTAGGAAAGATTTATAGCATACTAAATTATTCGTATATAAAAATATACTTACCTATACGACCACAAAGTCGTATATCAATACTAACGAGAAGATAATTGAAAATTTGATCTGATAAGCTGAAACACATTTGGCGCAAACGTTAAATTGACTATACATGGAATTTGTCATAATCTCGATATCGATTCTCTCGAACACGTTCTTTGGAAATATACTATATTATATAGCTTTTAAAAATCTCGTTTTGATATAAGTTAGCTGGTATGGACCTATATTTCGAAAAAAATCGTTTTGACCGTGTTGAACATATTTATTATTTTACGTTACGTTGGAGGCAATGTTTATATTTAAATTTTGGGGTTACGCAAAACTGGCTCCCTGGCCTTGCTATGCCTCAAGGAAGTTTGTCCTTGGTTTGGCGAAACATTACATATATATATTTACATTTGTGTTAGTGCGAAGCAGGACTCTTGAATTACATAATCATTTTATATGTACGTTACACTTTCAGACCAAGTAAAACTGTCCGATTCAATCTATTTTTATCGAAGTAAGAAAATGTCAAACAATGGTGAAGTTTACGAAGGAACAATGCATAGCAAAACATACGGCACTCGGACTATTGCAGTAAAATTGGTTCAATACAGTAAACAAAACTTGGAAGAAGCTAGCATTCTTTTATCGCTTAACCCTCACACTCATGTAGTTTCGATCATCGATGCAGATGTTTATCAAGGTCAATTCAAATATATGTACATAGCAATGGATAAATGTCACAGCGATAATTTGAGGCGGTTTGTGGAAAACCGAAGGAAAAATGAGATTCCATTTAATGCGGAACTAATGATTGATTTTACAAAGCAGTTGTTTACCGGGATTCATTACATACATGACAAACTCGTGATACACAAAGACCTTAAACCTGATAATGTGTTTCTGTCACTCGATCAAAAAGTTTTGAAAATTGGTGATTTTGGATTAAGTGAACGTGTTGACTCCAGAACTCGAACCATTCGTTCCAGTAAAGGTCTTGGCACTGACGGCTACAGAGCTCCTGAATCATTTGTGAGTGGATTTCCAACATCTCAAATAACTGACATTTATTCACTAGCTGTTCTTATATATTATTTATGGAGTAACGGTCGACACCCGTTTGGAAACGAGAAGGATTTATGGAATCATTTTATGAAAAATAATTTGAATATGAATTTAGACAGAATACTGTTGCCATATGCTGATATTGCTAAAGATTTATTGATATGGATGCTGCAGTTTGTGCCACGAAATCGACCGATTATTGACCAAGTGCTCTCTCATAAATACATGGTTCCAAACAACGTGAAAGGTACCATCTTTTTGCATTGAGCATTACTTGAAAAAAGCCTAGTTTAGTGTAAAAAATATTGATTACTTATCTGTATTTGAAAGGACTGTACATATACATTGTGTATTTCCTCAAATACTATTACCACCGGGTAAGGCAATGTAATTCAATCGGGTCTCATAGTGGGGTATGAAAGTAGTCAGACACGAAAACTAATCAACTGTTATTGTCCTCGATGACCACTACCCATTTGTTGCGGTCCGGCGCCAAGAAATGGGGTATAGATACGGGTGGTTAATAGACTACGCAAAATTGGAATCCAAGATCTTTAACTACTTCACATATTACAGGGTTATTGTTTCGAGAAGTTCAAGAAATTTCGGAAAGTTTAGAGTCAACTGAACAATCATTATTAAATCTTCCACATTTTAAGAACGAAACCTTTCACGTCGGAATCAACGCAACTGAAAAAGGGTATTTAGTTTTATAGAAAACGTTTTATTTTTTTTTATCTAATAGGACATCTAAGATCTATTGGTTCTGAATCTTATATTTTAATTACGGGAGGAGTAGGAGGCTTCTCCTAATTATATACAATACTGCTAGTTCAATTATTTGAAACCGATTATAATTTATATCCATTGGAAGAAATATTCAGTCAGTCCATATTGTCCGTCTAGGATATCCATCTTAAAATATAAAATACCGAATAACAACTTTTATATATGAACAAAGTGTATCTAAGCAGATGTATAATTTAAATCTTCTGAAATTTTCTCTACAGACCCGCATTCCCTAGATTTTTAATATCCTTTAATATTTTCAGTAATATTCAAGTCAGTTCAAATTCGTCATCACGACTTTCCAATCTGATCCTAGTAGCCAAAATGTTACAAGAACACCAAAAAATCAAAATGGCGTCACGTCAGTCGATGGGTGAGAAAATTACATATTGTTTTGACTAGATTTTACTTTTAACCATGAACTCGTATTTAATTAAACTCAGTTCGTATCTTGAAAACGGTTTTAGTAATATGTCTGACGTTTCATATCCATCTACAACTGCCACGGTGATCAACCTACTACGATGATCTATCTACGCGCAGCACTTATATTATTTTATTTTTGGCAAATTATATCGAACCAAAGTGATTTGCTGTGAACCTTGATAAAGACGTCCTGACGTCTGGTGTAATGTCCATAGTGAATAAATGTATAATAAACTGCTCAGATAATTAATCTGCGAATGTTTTCGAACAAAAGTTTTCAGTTTAGTTCGTTTTCAGGTTTTGCCTGCATGAATTGCGTATGATATATATTTCTAATTTGGGAACGGTGGCTTATCTATACGTAAAATGGCGCCCAGGGAAAAGTTTGAAAATGTGCCATCTTGATCGTGGTGGACAACGATTGACGATAAACTCAGTATTGCCTGAATTTCCTGTAAATATTTTTTAGATCGCACTCTACTCCATGATGACATCTACATATTTTGGGACAAGAAATTGTCGCATGATCCATTTACAGACATAGAGGTCTTCGAAGGCAGAACCAACGAAGAATCCTCGAGTTCAAAGCCTCTAGCTATAAAAGTCTTACGTGGCTTTGATAAATTAGTGCTCGGAGCAGGAAGAACTATTGTAGAAGCTGCTAAATCTATTCAAAGCTTACCCTTACATCCCAATATAGTTTCAATCATATCTGTGGGTGATATACGCAACCAGAGCGGGTTAAATGCATCGTATGTTGCGATGGAACGATGTCACTCTGGCACACTAGAAGACTATGTCCTCGAGAGAAAACGAAACAATGTTTGCTTCGATTTTAAGTTAGCTCTTGAGCATTCAATACAATTAGTCAGTGGTGTATATCACTTACATACACACGGCATCATTCACGGACGCTTGCATGCAAGGAATATCCTCCTTTCCCTAGATATGCAAGCTTTAAAAATATCTGCTTTTGCTTTCGGTAGACAAAAACTTTATATAAATAATTCATCTGGGGAAGTTTTTGATCATGGCGTGATTTCTTTTCAGTCTGACGTATTTTCATTAGGCGTTTTATTGTATTATATCTGGAGTAATGGATGTGATCCTTTAACGCATGACGACAATAGACAATTCGAAAATTATAAAAATCTCAACTTGATGGATTTACAAATTCCGAATTCCAAAATAGCTCAACATTTGCTTACTAAAATGCTAGAAAAGAGACCAAGTCAGCGTCCCACGATAAAAGAAATTGTCGATCATAGCTATTGGAATAGCATAAGTTGATATTATACGTCAAGCTCAAGGCAATAGGGGTTTAATTCATGTTGCACCATCCATCGCCCTATAATTGACCAAACCAGACCAGATCGAACGATTTTTGATAATATTATTCCCGATCTAGAAATAACCAACTTATAGTCATTTCTTTGAATGTAATTTTTGGTAGTGAAATACTTTTTATTATTTGCACAATTTAGTATATTAGTTATATTTTAAGTATATATTAAAGTTTACCGATGGACAATGATTAACACGTTAATTATTTAATTCAAAAATACATTGAACCTGTGCGTTTATGATGTAACTTATGATTTTATAACGTTTGTGATTATTTTATTATATATTATTATTATTAATATTTATTGGGTGGTAGCTAGTAGCTCTGATGACCATTTGATATCGCGACCGCGCAGTCATTTATACGGAAAGCTTTTATTCATTTATTGGACACGAAATGGACCTCACGAAATGTACCACCCTACGAAATGTACAACGTTTCAGTATTATGTTGTTGTTATTGTTAGAAAGTTTTTCCATTTTCTTATGAAGCAATCGCTTTTCTCTTTCAGTACTGGACCAGTGGACATTTCCCCGACCTTTGACCCCGAAAAATTCTTCCTATACTTCACCATTGCAAAATTTCCGGAGCTATTTTGAGGGCTTTTGCGAGTTGGCGTCTATAAAATGGGGTATGTGTTTCAAATCATCATTATGATTCATCGCATACAACAATCTGTCATGAAAGATAAACGTTGAACACTTGAATATATTTTAACACTCCAGATAATAAATATAAAGCTAAACCTCTTTTTTTGTGCGTTTAATTGATTTCGGAGTCGTATGATATTTTTACGTGTAAAAAAATGGCATAATCTCACTTCAAATTTGCGCATGGTTGCAGACTTTTCGAATGCAGATAAACATATTGATACACTTTCAACTCGACAACAATGTAATACATGCTTAGACACATCATACAACTATTTTGAGTAAACTTCAAACAAAATAAGAAATTCAAAATTATTATAGAATACATCAGTGTCAGAGCACAATCAGGTCTAAAATAATTACAAAACAGGAATCTTTTGAGATCTTTACAAATCAAAGCCTATCAGAAGTAAAAATATTTTCAGTCATCAAGAGTCAAATCAAAATAGCTCAAGAAATGATCTCTTTACCCATCATCTATTTTTGTATGTGGCTAATAAATTAATTATGTGCAACTGTAGCAACTATGTTATGCAATGCTATTAGTGCACACCACAATAATTTGAAACATAAATATAAATTGTCGTTTTTATGTGAACCTTACACTTAATTCGTGCACACCTCTAATCTCAAGCATGAGCAATGGATATTAAAGAATTTTGGTCGTCAGTCAAAGTTCCTAAAGTGTGTGTCCCCAATGTTGAAACATACATTAATTTACGTCGTACTTTCTTCACTACAATATGCTCCAATCCAAATTTTCAAGAGTCCATATCTTAAAGTTTCGCAGGTATTGGGTGTACGAAGATCAAACGCGCAGGTGTCGCAGGTCAATGTTACAGCAGGGGAGTGGGGGCATATATATACAATAACAGGTGACTTCAGGGAACTAATAATTTCGAATTCGACTCCTGCATCCAATGAGAACATATCAAACTCAATCTTAGGGCCAGTCCACGCAGTGGAGGGGGGGGGGGGGGGATTTACAAGGGTCCTCCGATTCCAGTTTGAAAAACATTTTGACGTCGACTTATGGCAAAATTTATACAAAATTTTGAGTCTGACTTCAAACCCGAGAAAATTAAGTGTTGATGATAAATACTTTGGCGTATGCAAGCTATGGATACCATATTGCTACCGGCTGCTATTGCATAAGGAACGCCGTGTCGTTTTGCTTCATGAGTTTTTTCTTTCCGTTTGTTATGATTTTGGAGACGTGCTTAATGGTTGAACAGTAGGTACATTTCGCTATTCATGTGCGATTCAAGCATGCAAAGCCTATATACAAAGTCTGGGCCTAAATCCATATAGCATTGTATCGACAGAGAAATCGACAAGATCTTCTGATAATCAGTATTCGACTATTAAACTACCAAAATAAACACTAATTAAATGTTGAATGCTAATACTATGCTAACTTTATGTCGAATAGATTAGCAACCACTTCTTAATTAAATTTCTTTATTCAATTGTTTTACGGGACCCCAGCGTCTGATAGCGAAATGACTCCGGGGAAAATATAATTCCGACTCCCACATCTCTCAACCTGCAAATACGAACAATGTGTTACTTCAGTACAAACTCAACCCCGAATTCGAGCAAATAACTTGGATTTACTTAATAAGTTGTATTACAGTTATTTAAAATACATAGAATATTGATATATATATATATATGTATATCGAGTTTCAAACTACTGGAAAAAGATAAACGTTGATAAACATGACCTGAATATATTTTAACACTCCAGATAATGAATATTTTAGAGAAAGGAATATCATTCTTCAGTAAAATCGTCAAAGTTTTCCACATATACACATTTGGAAAAATATAATTTCATAGCACTCCATTCATTTCCTATTTCAATCATTTTGTTGAAGACTCGCAACAAATCTTCTGCGGTCGGATGTCGATTACGCATGCCTACCCAAACACCTATCGGGTTTCCTTTTACATATATTATGTAGTTTTCATAATCAGTATAGATAAATCTATATCTTATCTTTGAAAAATTTTCGACGAGTTCTTCTTCAATTTTACGTTGTTTTGGTAGGATTACATCAATGTCGCTTTCTAAGCCAATTTCCAATTTTTCTAAATCTTTATTTATTACCCGATATTTTCCGTTGTCTATGTATTTGTAATGGAATGGAATTTTTTTGTATTTATTTCGTTCAATGTTATAGTCAATCGTATAAGCAAATCCTCCTCCATTAGTGGATTTGAAATCTTCCACTGCTATACATCCAATAATGCTGTTAACTGTTTGATTAGAATTCAGAACAGCAAACCATTCTCCGTTCAATCTATCCCAATTAATTTCTTCAGAAGAATCATAGTGCAGGACACTTCCATCCTTAGTAATGCATGTGCCAAGCATCGCATTGAGACTAATGTGAAGAATAGATAGTGCAACTCTAAATGAAACACTCATTTTTATCTTCGGCATCTAACGTTGAATTGTAGGAACCTTGCTGCTGTCGGCGCGACTGGAATGACATTATGGAATGTTTTGTCTAAACTCTAAAGCTTTTGTTTATGCGTTTAATTGATTTCTGAGTCATATGACATTTTAATGTGTGAAAAAATGGCATCCATCTCCTTTTGAATCCGCGCATGGCTGCAAACTTTTTCGAATGCAGATACAAATTTCAATACATCTTCAACCCGACAACAATGTAAATACATGCTTAGACATACTATAAAATTATTTTTAGTAAACTGCAAACAATTGTGAAATTTAAAATTATTGTAGCATGCATCCGTGTCAGAGCACAATCAGGCCTAAAATAATTACAAAACAGGAATCTTTTGGGGGTCTTTGCCAACAGAAGCACGTGAGAATTGAAATTATTTTCACTCATCAAGAGTCAATTCAAAATAACTCAAGAAATGATCCCTTCAACCAACATCTATTTTTGTATGTAGCTAATCATTTAATTATATGCAACTGCAGCAACTATGCTATGCAATGCCATTCGTGCACACCCCAATAATTTGGAATATAAACATGAATTTAAAATTTCTTAATTATTTGAAGTTTACTAAAATTAATTTCATAATGTGTCTAAGCATGTTTATCTGCTTTCGAAAAGTTTGCATCTATGTGCGGATTCAAAGAGAGATGAATGTCATTTGTTTACACGTAAGAACGTCATATGGATCAGATATCAATTAAACGCGTAAACAAGAGCTTTAGACAAAACATTCCTATGTCATTCCAGTCGCGCCGACAGCAAGGTTTCTACTATTTAACGGTAGATGCTGAAGATCAAAATGAGTGTTTCATTTAAAGTTGCACTATCTATCCCTTGCATTAATCTTAATGCGATGCTTGGCACATGCATTACTGAAGTTGAACGTGATCCGGACCATGATTCTTCCGAGGAAATAAACTGGGATAAATAAAACAGAGATTGGTTCAACGTTTCAATTCTAATCTCATAGTTAGCAGCATTGCTCTCATTCATTAATCTCATTGCGTCTCATTTAATTCGTCTTTGATTTGAAAATTAGTAACAGCGTTTTCCATTCCAACACATCTCCAATTGAAGACTTCATTCCCAGCAAGAACTTCACAATTCATGGATATTTCTGAAGCGGGGCATTCCAACTCTAAATTAAGATTAAGTCTCGACAGTTTCCTTGATTGGGAAATTTTGAATAGCTGTGATAAATTTAAAAATTGTTCAAGTTGATTTAGATTCAGGTTGACTATAAAACTGAATTTTGACATCAATGCTGTATGAGTCGATCTCTCCGTCGATACAATGCTATATGGGTTTAGGTCCAGACATGCATTCAAAACATATTTATTTATAAATATATATAAATAAATGCCATATACTGTATCAGGTTTTTGTCGATCACAAACGTAACGTTTTTAGTAAAAGATTACAGTACTTTAAAAATATGAATAATATGCATTTGAATAATATGCTTAAAATTGATTCTATAATATACCTAGAAAACATCTATAAAAGAGTCCTGGAAATTCACGACATATCGATATACATCTCTGGCTTGAAAAATTTTCCTCCATGCTTGAATCGCACATAAAAAGCGAAATGTACTGTTCTACTTTAAAGCACGTCTTCAAAGTCATAACAATCGGAAATAAAAACTCATGAGGCAAAACGACACGGCGTTTCTTGCGCAATAGCAGCCATCCCAGCTTGCATCCGCCAAAATATTTATCATCAACACCTAATTTTCTCGGGTTTCAAAATTTTTTATAACTCCGAATAAGAAATCGAGTCAGAGCTTCCATCAGCCATAAGTCGACTTCAAAATGTTTTCCAACCTGTATTCGAACGACCATTTTAAATTGCGTAGCTGAGTTGCTGCAGCTGCATATAAATAGTTGGGTACTCCTGCAGTATGTGTACCAGTTTAGGGTTAGGCGATAACTTTATCCAGATTTTCCTTATTTTACTCTTATTACGAGTTCGGGGACTGTTAACCAAGTTAATATACCCCCTGTCCATGAGCTTCCGTCATATTACGCAAAATGATATATACATATGATATGATATACATACAAAATAGATGATAATTGGAGGGATCATTTCTTGAGTTATTTTGAATAGACTCTTGATGAGTGAAAATATTTTTACTGACAATGGGCTTCTGTTTGTGAGACCTCCCAAGAGATTCCTGCTTTGTAATTATTTTAGGCCCGATTGCGCTCTGACACTGATGTATGCTACAATAATTCAAATTTCCTAGTTCTCTGAAGTTTACAAAAATATAATTTCATGTGCCTGAGCGAGTATTACATTGTTATCGAGTTGAAGCTGAAGGTGTACTAATATGTTTATCTGCATTCGAAAAGTCTGAATTTAAAGTGAGATGAATGCTATTTTTTTACACGTAAAAATGTCATATGACTCAGATATCAATTAAATCCGCAAATAAGAGCTTTAGACAAAACATTCTAATGACATTTCAGTCGCGCCGACAGCGGCAAGTTTTCTACGATTAAACGGTAAATGCTGAAGATAAAAATGGGTGTTTCATTTAAAGTTGCACTATCTATCCTTTACATTAGTCTTAATGCGACGCTTGGCACATGCATTTCTAAGCATAAAGATGTTCTGGACTATGATTCTTCTGAGGAAATTAATTGGGATAGATTGAACGAAGAATGGTTCAACGTTTTGAATTCCAATCTCACAATTGCCAACATTGCAGGCTGTATTGCAATGGAAGATTTCAAATCCACTAACGGCGGAGGATTTGCTCATACGATTGACTATAACATTGCCATAAAATTCCAGTTCATTACAAATACTTAGACGACGGAAAATATCAGATGATAAATAAAGATTTCGAAAAATTGGAAATAGTTTTTAAAAGCGACAATGATGTAATCTCACCAAAACAACCTAAAATGGGAAAAGAACTTGTTTAAAATTTTTCAAAGATAAAATATAGATTTATCTACACTGATTATGAAAACTACATAATAAATGCAAAATATCTTGACGAAAACATCAAAGGAAACTCGAGAGGTGTTTGGGTAGTCATGCGCAATCGGAATCCGACCGCAGAAAATTTGTTGCGAGTCTTCAACAAAATGGTTGAAATGGGAAATAGATGGAGTGCTGTGAAATTGTATTTTGCCAAATGTGTTTATTCTGGAAAACTTTGATAA